GGGCTCGCAACTAGTCTCAATCCCCTAGACATCAGAACTGCCGCTGCCCGCTAGGCTCCTTCTCTTCCTGCTGACCTCGCTACTGTCACAATAAACTCCCGGAGGCTTCACTCCCGCACTAACCTCGGTTGTTGACTATAGATGTTTTACTGGGCTAGGGCTATCTCGTGATGCTTGCAGGATTAACAGGAGATGAGTGGGATGATTCCCTGCCCCCAATAATTGGTCTGCCTTTCCAAGTCCTGCTGATGAGCCAGGCTGGCTGGGCTGTCATCAGCAGTGCCCTGGAATACTACGGACCCACCTGGTTCAGGAACTGGACTACAGAGACCACTACAGACTCGATTCTGAGATTCCGTTGCCAAAAATGTCACCTTGGAGCCAGTTCAGCTCCAAGGAGACCCTACAAACCTCCCCCAAAGAGGATAGTCCTTATATCATATCAGACACCTGGTTGTCCCCCAAAAAATTGCAATGTTCTCTCAATGTGAAAAACCTATATCAAATGAGAAGATCATTATTCTTTTACTTTGAACGATTATTAATTTTTATTACATTCTAAAAACATCTTTGAGGTTCAAAGAAGCCAACCACAGATTTTTCACATTGAAATTTGGTTGACTCCAGTATAACTATGTTGGCAAATTTACTTGATACCGCATTACTTTCAAATATAGGTTTTATTAAAGTTTGAACAGATAAATCAGCTACACTGTGTCGCTTATACAGATACAACAACAACAACAACTTGGATTTATATAGCGCCCTCCACGCCAGACGGGGTCTCAGAGCGCTTTACAGTAACGGATCCCAGGACCGAGCCAGGGGGAGGGGGAGGGGCGGGGAAGGTGACCAAAGGCGCGGTCGAAAAGAAAGGTCATTAGCAGAGACCTGAAAATGAGAAGGGAGGGAACGAGATGAATGGAGTGAGGAAGGCAGTTCCAGAACCTCGGGGCATAGTGGCTGAAGGCACGGCCGCCGAGGGTGGAGCGGAGGACTCGGGGGATGAGGAGGAGGTCAGACCCGGAGGAACGAAGGCAACGTTACTGTTTTGAGGAGAGAGGAGGTCAGAGAGGTCGGGGGGTGCAGAGGAGTGCAGGGACTTGAATACAAGGGTGAGGATCTTGAAATCAATCCTCTCTGGGATAGGCAGCCAGTGCAGTCTGGCCAGGACTGGGGGGATCGGGGAGCAGAGTTTTGTGCGGGTGAGAATGAGGGCGGCAGTGTTTTGAATGATTTACTAAGCAACAGACAGAATCAAAATCATATTACCCACTTCAACTCTGGGCAACAGCAACAGGTCAGAGAGGTAGGAGGGGTCAAGGGCATGGATGGCCTTCAAGGTGAGGATGAGGATCTTGAACTCGATTCTCTGGGGGATGGGGAGCCAGTGGAGTCGGGCGAAGGTGGGAGTGATGGGGAAGTGGAGCCTGGTGCGCGAGAGTACACGAGCTGCAGAGTTTTGGATGATCTGCAGCTTGTGAAGGGAAGAGTTGGGAAGGCCGATGAGGAGGAAGTTTCCATAATCGAGGCTTGATGTGACGAATGCGTGGGTAAGGGTTTCGGCAGTAGCTCCTTGAACTCCCACAAATCCACCTCCACTTCCACTGCCCGGAAGCCCGCACGTTAATTTTATTTATATCATTAAGTTTTGCATCAGCCAAGCCACATTTTCATACAGTACTGTACTACTAACCTGATCTTTATTTAACAGCAACTTGTCATTGGCAAAGTATCAACTGCTCGAACTCAAGGTCCCAAAATGCTCACACTCAAGTTGCACAGCCATCCTATTTTTGTACAGATATTACCACAGTTCGCTTTTCCCAGCTCCAGGATGACCTTCACTCATTGTCTCTTGGCTACTTCTTCTACTGCGGTTGCACACCGTTTCTGCTTATTTTTGTACATATTTTTAACTATTTAACTCTCAATCCTTGTGGAACATTCAGTTGCTAATAGAAATATACCAAAGTACCCTGAGGTGAGTCTGTATATTTCAACGACTAGGGGAAGCTCCCTTGATGGATGGGTAAATGCAACACATCACTGCCTCTTCAGATAGATTAGGATACAGGTATGATTGCTGATATGGACTAAGACGTTATCACAAATTTAACCTCTGGTCTGGGATGAGTTGCTTTCGGTGCCTAATCCATGTTCTGAGATAAATTGCTGGGACAGGGAGTGGGAGCTCTTTTGTATAGATTGGACAAATTCATTTTCTTAATTTCTTAATTCTTCCTCTTTCAACATTTTCAGCATAGCTAAGAGCATTCTCTTTGATGAAGTTTCAATCACGGAAAATTTTCTAAAGGGTTCCTGCTTTTCTAAAAGGTTTCCGGTTACGTGACATTGAAAACCAACAAAGCTGCAGTACAACAAAAACAAGAGGGATACTCTTCGGTCTTCATTTTTCCCTCATTCAAAAAAAGACGCTACTCTAAAACTCTTTCCAGAAACACAATTTTTTTTTTTTTAAATTTATTAATCTCTGTATTCCATTGCCAATACCAGTTGATACTGAAGGACCACATTACAACATGCCTAGACCATATGCTTTTGGTCTCAAACTGCAATGTGCGGATATCATGCTTTTCATAAAAGGACAGTGTTAAGGCATATAGATCCATTTGCAGTGGATTCTCCACAAGGAGATATAGCATCCATTGCACAGTGCTAAACCTGGAGAAATGCAACTAGCCCAATACTAAGAGCATGACCTCCTTGAATATAACACATTCTGGGTGAATTACAGCCATAAGACTAAGTACTGTACCCAACTCCTCCAATGAAGGGGTGAGTTTGTCATGTACATTATCCAAAGCACTGGCCAAAAAAAACATTATCCATACCATCTATGGTGCTCATGCTACTTGCCTACCCATTGGAAATAAATGCCCAGATGTAACAAATGTTGACTGTGCCACTAATTTCTAGCTTTGCAGGTTCTATCACTGTGAGATATGCTAGAAATATTCTATGAAACAGAACCATCTGTCCCTAAGCATTCCCTTGAAGAACATACATTCCACAGAGGAACTCATTAGAAACCACTTTGAAACCCACTCTATGGTCTCCCTCCAGTATATTTATATTAGGAGCACGCCATACCCACCGGCTGGGTCCCTAGCTTTAACCCCCAGCCTGGCCTAATCCAAGGGTTTGGCACAACATGAAGGGTGCACATGCCTCCAACCCCTGCCCAAGGCCCACAAACCCAGATTATTCCCACCCGGAACTCAAACAACAGGCATTTTGTAAATTGATTTACATCGATTTTGAAGAAAATAAGCATGTCAGATTCTGTGTGGCATCCCAATAGGTCTAATAGATATAAACCCCAATAGATTGAAGCACTATGAGGTGTTACCTACATGAAGGGCAATATATAAATGCAATATCTTGTTGTCCACATACAAATTCCTGTCCAAGGCCCAACCTAGGTCTTACCTTGGTCTCGAGATTGTAATTCCAATTGGATCACAATCCTGGCAAGTCAGTGTAGAAGGGTCTTTCTTTTGTCTGAACTCAACATTCCACCCAGTGGACCTCCAAGAGGCAAGCTGATACTACACTGATGACTTGCATGCATATAGCACCCTTCATGTGTGGTAGCACACGGAGCAACGGCATTGTTTGACGCCTAGCGGGGGAGAAAGGGGATGTGATTGTAGGCATATTTGAAGAGAAAAGTTTGCAGGTGGGATCTGAAGACAACAAAGAGACAACAAGGTGAAGAGATTGAGGCAGAGAGTTCCGGAGGGCTGGGTATTATTTCAGATGAGACATTAAACCAAGTGAACAGTTAAATATCTGCTGATGCTTCATATAAACAATTGGTCACTCAATTCGTGGCTGTTTGTGGAACATTGCTGTGCACAAATTGAAGATTGGTGCTGATACATAAATCACATGCAATAGGGGGAAATTGGTGTTTGGATAGATGGATGGTTGGATGATTGAAATAGTAGAAAGCAAAGAATAGTGCTAAAAGGTTATTTTCCAGTTGGAGGAAGGTAGTTTATCACAGGAATCTTTTTTACATTTATATCAATGATCTTGACTAGGATATAGTGGTTATGGAATCAAAGTTTGCAGATGATACCAAGCTAAGAAGTATTATGAATAGTGATGAGGATGATAACGGCTTGCAGGACATTTAAACAGATTTGTGCAATGGGCTGATCAGTGGCAGATGAGGTTCAATGAAGGGAATTGTGAGGTGATTAATTTTGATTAAAAAAATTCATATTGAATGGGCAGTGCCTTGCAAGGAACAAGGGATTTGGGAGTCAAGGTTCACAGGTCAGTGAAAGCGGTATCACAAGTGCTAAAGGCTGTAAAGAAAGCTGATAGTATAAGGATAGGGCAGGACTATAGGACTGCAGCAAAATCTTTGCTCTGTGAGCCGGTGCAGGCTTGAAGGGCCAAATGGCCTCATTGTGCACTGTGCATCTAAATAGGCACCCACATTTACCTACAAATAGTCATTACAGTTACAAAACTCTTAAGCCCTTTGAGACACTTCAACGTGATAAGTCAGGAGCAAGTATTATATCTTATCTTTACCTTTCTGGCCCCTCTCTCACCATGTCTCTTCTATGTATGTATATATTATTCAATCCCCTTCCCCTTTAAATTTTTGATTTGCAAGCATCTCTTTTCCATGTTGTTTTCTCTCATGAAATGAACAACAGCCCCGTTTGTTATATAGGGTAACTGCAGATGTCACGTAACCACAAAGTCTTTAAGCTTCTTAAAGAGGAAGGGGTCCTTAGAATTTTTTCCATGACAGAAGCTTCATCAACAGAGAAAAGCTGTAAATAAAGGGAGGATGCATAACATTTGAAGAATGAGGAAGACTCTACATGGTAGGTAACCTCGCGATATCAGTTGTCTTGTGAATTTTGCTTCTAATCTAACTCTGTTACTGACTATTTCAAATATGTAAAATATATAACATATAAATGTATAACAATTGATTTTCTAATTGGCAGGCAGATTATTCAGCTTTGTCAGGAGATCAGCAAGAGAGAAAAGCGAAGCTTCTTTCAGAAAAGGTAAATTAATTAACCAACTAAAATGTTTTTTGGTAAGTGGTTTATGTGAAATAACTAGTGTGATGGGAATGCCGACACACTATGTAAGACACAGCACCCAAGCCATACCCCATGATGGACCTCACCTGCTCTGTCTCCTCGGTGAAACTATTTGTACTATGTTTTTAATCCCACTGTGGAATTTTACTGCTCTCCCAGTTTTAGGAGATGAGGAAACACGGTTGGTGCATTTTCAACATCTGTTCATATAACAATAGTACAATTGCACTTGTATAACACCTCTCATGTAGGGTGACATCTTTGGGTGCTTTAGAGAGAATGTGCTGGACAGTGAACAGGGATGATGTGGGAAATGACCACAGCCATGGTTGACAAGGTAGGTTTTAAGGCAGCTTTTGTAGACTGATTAGGAAAGGGGAGTGAGGTAGAAGTGTTGAGAGACAGAGGTTGAGAGGGTGAAGGCGCAGTGGCTGAATGCCGGGCTACCGATGGTGTAGCTGTAGATGATAAAACTGGAAGCCGGTGAAGAGAGCATTTGAAAAGTTGCATTTTGAAGTGATAACCCTATAAATAAGGTTTTTGGCTGCAATAGCATCAGATAGGAATGCAGGTGGGCAATACAATACAGTACAAATTACTTTTTTATAACACCTTTCACTTCAGGAAGACGTCTCAAAGCGCTTGATCTTATTGTCTGGGTGCATGGGCCAGGGGTGAGAGTCAAAGAAGATAGGGAGGGTAAAGGTGATTGAAAGCATGGTCATAGAGACACACCCTGAGACAGACCTTGAGCGAGATGTGGGAGGAAGTCGGAAAGACTCTGTAATGGAGTTCCAGAGGGAGAGGGAGTAGAATGATTGAAAGCCCATCCACCTATAATGGGGCAAATAGGGAAGCGACATGAAGCAGTTCAATGTTCATTGAGCAAAGGGAGTGGCCGAATTGGTAGTATTTAAAGAAATTGCAGTGTTGGGTGGGGCAGTACCGTGCAGGGATATTAAGATGAAACTAGAAGCTTGAACTCAATGCCTGATAATTACAGAGGGATCTCACTGATTTCCAAGCTCTTAAAATGGTGCTTCGGGAAGTCACTGCTTATGTATTGCACACATGGGAGGCTCGCACTTTGATCAGGAAGGAGCAGGCTGGATTCCATTCTCATGTGGGAATGTGTGGGACAGGTTGTGACTTTGTATGAGATGGCAGAATGTCGTAACTTACATTACATTACATTAAGTTCATCAACGTTCGCAAGGCTTTTGACCTAGTGCCTCATGAGGCCCTAATGATGAAACTGGAAGCCATGGGAATACTTGGATTCAGGAGGTAAGGCAATGCTGTCCATTGTCACCCACCCTATTCCATTTGTTCATCAATGAAGTATTGGATGGCATCGACGGGGAAGGACTTGGTGTGTCTGTTCCAGTCCTCTCTGATTGGATTGCTGCGCTTCTGTTTGCAAATGATATTATGCTGCTGGAAGACTAACCTGGGGACCTTCTGCGCTGCACCCGTCAGCTTGAACACTAGGCCAACCAGTGGGACTTGGTGGTGGGTGCCCCAAGTATGGAATCATGGTTCTGCATGGCCCAAAGGAAAGACATTGAAGGAATTGATTAGAAGATACAAGGGGCATCAGCCTCAATTGTTGACACTTATCAATAGCTTGGGTCATGGTAGACACCAACACTGGACACTGTCCTGAAGGAACACGTTGAGAAGGGGTGAAGGGTTTTCTGGTCATGCTCATCCATCTTCAAGGACAGCAAGGTCCCAATATAGGTCAAGCTTCTGGCATATAAGACCTGTGTGCAAACAGTCCTCATTTATGGATCTGAACTCCTGGGGATACAGTGAGGCTTCCTCTGACCCATCTGGAAAGTCCAGCAGTGAGGTGGATTTATGACAAACAAAGGAAGCAGCTGCAGGAAGGGAGGGCTGTGGCCTACGCTGACCTGTTACTAAGCACCCTGGAGACAAAGTCGGCTTCACAGCGGGCACATCTATTTGCCAAGGCTCCTCACATGAGGACCTGGATTAAGCAGCTGGTGCTGAGTAAATCTATTACGCGGCATTGGATTTGGACCTCAAGAACATTAAGGTCACAACCTGTCCTGTAAAACTTCCCACCACTAAACAATAGACTATTCCAGAACTCTGCAGCCCATATCCTTCCCCAGACCAGGCTCCGCGCTCTCACCATCCTCCCTGACTTCAGCCTCCAGATCAAATTAAATATCTTTTTGGTCCTCCCACCATGCCAGTGTCTGTCTCACGTGGCAACCCGGCACCATGCTTAAAACTATCCAATCCAAACTGAGATGTTACAGATCCTCTGACACTATTCGAAAAGAGAGGGGAGTTTCTCCCAGTGTTCTGGCCAACAATCCCCAAAATTAAATTGGTCATTCGCACAATAGCTGTTTGTGTGACATTGCTGTGCAAAAACTGGCTGCTGCATTCACCCACTACACTTTACAGTATATCCTGTAAAGTGCTTTGAGGCATCTTCCTTGATGTGTAAAGTGCTATGCCAAGTGTAAGGATTATAATCATTATTAATATATACCTATCACTGAATTTTGAAGAATGGCCACGTCAGCCCATAATCCTGGGATTTATGATTGATATTAAAGAGCAGTGAACGAAAACTCAACAGAATCTTAATTCAAAATGTTACAAAAGTTCCATTATTTGTCAGTCTCCCATTATTCCAGTGTTCTTGTGCTTTTGGATTGCTCGTCAGAAGCAGTCTTAATCACACTGCATACTCAGTAAGACAGAAATAAATGTCTGGTTTCAAACTTTAATATCAGATTTGCAGCATGATGGATTTTACAAATTTTTCTATTATAAAAAATGATGATGTTACATAAAATATGCTTGTATAATTATTATTTTTGACGGAATTCGAGATTCTTGTGTCATTTTTATAATAGATGAAGATTTAATAGGTGACTTCTTATTTTTTTTTGTGCTTAGGCCTGCGAACCAAATAATTCAGGAAACAACAGGTACGTTTTATATAGAGAAGAAACCACAACTGCCGTACATATTAATCTTGCCTTCTGAGCAGTGGAGTCCTGTAGCTCAGTGGTTAGAGCACTCGCTTTGCAAGCGAGAGACCTGAGTTCAATTCCAGGCAGGACGAAACCTTGGGAAGTTTCCTTACTCCACACAGAGCCCTAATAATAATCCCTCCAAAAGAGAAAGCTGGAGAGAGGAACATCAAAAAGTGACATTAACTGCTGACAAGAAAAAAATCCTAGTTTTGTTTGGGGATGTTTCCTTCGGCTCCATCCAAGCCTCCTAGAAACAGGTATCATTACCCACCTTAAATAAAAGCATCTGATGTGCTCCCAGATTCAATGATTGGATTAAAAGCAGCATTGTCAGAAGATGCTTAAGTACTACGAATAGCTCACCAATATTCCAGCTTTCCCTTCGGCTCTGTGTTAGTGTGCTGGTAACTCACTACAGCAGCAATGTGGGTGTAGGAATTAGCATTAGAGATGAGAAAGTGAATATAGCACAGGAGTCAGTATTCAGGAGATTGGCTGAATACCAAGCTGAGCAGGGTCAGATGATCAACAAGTTGTTCAAGATTATTCAAGTCAATCAACATTTGGGAATTCAGAAATAATGCTGCCTTATCAGTACAAAATAAATATTGATGGTAATTACAGTATTGCAGTTACTGAGAATGATCACTTCGGCAGAGGAAATGAACTGATAGATTTTATTATGCAAAAGTTAGGACATTCCAGAATTCTTCCATTATCAACGAGCATATATAGATAACAAGAACAAATTATTGACTTTGTGTAACCAGCCACAGTGGTGTTTTCCAATATCACTCACTCTTAAAAGAGTCAAAGAGCCAGCACAGACATGATGGGCCAAATTGCCTTCTTCTGTGCTGTAAATTTCTATGGATCTATTTGTGGTACATCAGCAAGATAGCACTTGAGTGCAATCACACTCTGTCATTGCAGGATACACTTTCGATCCAATCCCCAATCCCAACCATATTGCTGTGAGGGAGCTCTGGAAATAAGATGGTAGGAGGTGGAGATGGTGGAATGACAATGACTTCAGCTTTGTCTCTCCCTCCTCTGATTCCGTAGTTGGAGGGAGTATTTGAGGAAGACCTATCCACATATATTCTCTTCAATTATTTACGAACCATGGACTTATAGAAATCTACAATACAGTAGATCCATCACATTAATGTTGGTTTTGCTCCACCAGTGAAGCAATCTATTCTTTTCCCAATTTCCTGCTCTTGCCTTGTACCCTCTAATACAACAGTTTCCCAACTGTCCAATGCCTTGGGATGTCCTCCCGACGTGAAAGGCGTTCTATAAATGGAATCTTGTTGTTGTTGTTGTAATACCTTTCCTCCTCGTGTTCTTATCTACGTTACTATTAATTGCTCCCAATTGATAATAATATTTAATAGCTGCTTCCAATAACCAACCATGGCAAACTATTCCATATTCTGATAATCCCCTGGGAGAAAAAATCCTTCCTATCTTCTCCTGTTGCACTCCTAATTATAATCATAATTCATGGCCACTTGACTTTGAATTGCATACCACCCATTGCCAGAGACCTGGGACAAGATTCCCACCACTGTACTGATGGAGAAATAGAGGAAAATGCGGGAATAACAATTTAATTTTACCCGTTGTTGCAGATTTTGGACCCGAAGATGGAGGATGGGATTCCGATGAATTTGTAAGTAGTAGTTTTTAAATATCTCTCGTTAAACTATTGTTCGAGTCAGATTTATCCCACAACGTTTCCTGGAAACATTTCCATACGTTTGGCATTACGAAATATAATAATCTGCTTCAGTCAGATGATGATTATGAAGATCCAGACCAGGAACAGGAATCGGAGGATGATGGGGGAGATTATGAATCACCTACTGAACAAGGCAACGACAGTGATAATGACTATGAGCCACCACCTTCCAATGATGAAGAAGCACACCAAAGCAAGATTTTTGCTGCAAAACCAATCTCCAATGACTCAGATTATGCAGGTACTAATGCAGATTTCGCACTGATATGTCAGCATTCTGTGTGAGGGCGGAAATTGTCTGCCTAAGCAATAACAGACAGTTTTAACAACAACATCTGGCTTGTGGTCTGGGTGTCCCAGTGTATCTTGTATGATTACACTGGATGGATGGGGCTACCCCAACCCTAATATCACACTGCCTTCCTTTCTTGGAATTGTTATTATATCATACAGTAACACTTGCATAAGTGTCATCTTTATCAATTGTATAATCTCCTGTCATATATGCATCTAGGTCCCATTCAGTTTTCTATCAAAACCACTTGGATTTATTTGCATAAGTTGTATTAATCATACTCTAACTCGTAACATCCATTTCCCACACTTACAGGCTGCATTGAATTGCTTCCTCCGGCCCATTTGCGAAGTCCAGTATCAAGCAGTAAGGTAGATGTGTAGAAAACAAGGGAAGCGGCTCTGTAGCTGGAGGGAGGGCTCCAGCTTTCGCTGATCTGTCACTAAGCACCCCAGAGGGAGATAGCTTCACAGTAGGCATGTCTGTTTGCCAAGGACCCTCGCATGAGGTCCTGGATTAAGCAGCTGGTACTGAGTAAGCCTGATACAAGGCATTGGACTTGGATCTCAAGACTATCAAGATGGCAGGCCAATCGCAAGCTGTCCTGTAAAGAGCATCCCACCACACTGAAGGCAGATGTCTTCCAGATAGCTGATGAGGAAACTCTGAGGCTTGGGGCAACAGCTGCTGGAAAGTGTTATCTGAAGCCAGCCTGCGCTTAATACTCTCCAGCGTTAGATAAGCAGGATGTATCCCTCTAGGAAGAGAGTGAGCATTCCATTCCAACAAATACTCTGGAATTTCCATGTGTAGGTAGGATGCATTGAACTCTCAGTTTGGTTTGGATACTCTTAAGCATGGTGATGGGCTTCTGCATGTATCAAATGGCACTTTTGGCTGAGCACCCCCAAACATTACTGCTCAATCATTAAAGAGAATCTCCAGAAAACTCCACTGTTCTTTCATTATAATGACTAGGAGATAGCTATTTGCAAAACAGACTCTTTTTTTTGCCTTAATATTGCCTTAATTTTGCCTTAGGTTTGCCTTAACTTACAGATGTTCTCTCTTTTAAGAGAGAACTGGATAGGTATCTGGGGAAGACGGGTTTGCAGGTTTATGGGGAGAAAGCTGGTGATTGGGGTTAGTGAAAGTGACTTGCTCTGTCAAAGAGCCGGCACAGACTCGATGGGCCGAATGGCCTCCTTCTGTGCCGTAACATTCTATGAATCTATGAAAATCTATGAATGTGCTGCAGTTTTAAAATAAAATTATCATATTTTTACTTAAATGGCTACCTCCTAAGCTCTTTCAGACTCATGCCTCATTACAGTGCAGTAGAGAGCTGGCTAAATTACAAGCCATATAACCTCACACACGATGCAAATAGATATTTTTTGCTGGTGTTAAAATCCCAGGTTCACTTCTGCATCAGAGCCATTTGTGAAAAAGTGCTCAAGTGGTTAGCCAGTGTGCATATGCATAGCATTCTACTATACATAGAAGTGAGATACAACTGTGGCTCCCCATCTCCCAACAGAGATAGCTCAAGGTCCTTACCCTCAATTATAAATCCTTCACAATCCAGCACCTCACTATTTCTGATCTACCCCACTCTCCTGCTCACCCCCTACACTCGGCAAACTCAGGCCTGCTGAAGATTTCTTGCCATCTTCATCTCAATATGGTGGCTGAGGTTTCAGCAACTTTGCCCCCAACCTGTGGAATTCCCTCCTCTACCCCACCATCTCTTTCTCTGCCTTTGAATCCTATCGCAAATCCGACCTCTTCCTCTCCCTCTGCACTTCTTCCCTTGTTCAGTGTTTGACACTGTCTCTGTGAATCACTCAACATTATCCTAAATGAAAGCCACTATATTATAATAATACTTATATTTGATGTCATGTCATCTCGACATCTCAAAGCACTTCACAGGGAAGACTGTAAAGTGGATTGACTGTGTATTTTGTGGGCGAAATGTAAAATGCATGTTGTGAAACTATTTAAATGCAGAAATCCATTTTTTCTTATTTCCTTTCAGATAAACGGCCAACATTAAAACCAGGACCTCATCCTCCTGTACCACCTCAGCGTCCTGGGTCTGTGCCTCTTCTCCCATCTGTAAACAAGCCCAATATTGTAAGTACCTATTACAGGAAGACTGTGTAGAGCAACGGACTTTTGAGTTGATTCTGATTCTGTGCAATTCTGGTGCTGGACAGCGTTACTGTGTTACTGCAAGTCCTAAGCATGCCAGCTGGCATTTGAAATGTCATGCCTCAGATTAGCCATCAGTTGTGATGATTCATTCTATGTGTTATAACACATGAGGATCATAAGGCAATTTCTTCTGTATCCATCTGCACAAAGAGTAAAGAACAAGTAGCCATTGACATCCTTTTGCGAATATCAGGGAGGGTATGACATGCATTATCTTGTAGGCTTTTGGTTACAAAGATAAACTATTTTGTACTGAGTTGTTTTGCACAAACAGACTAAATGTGCTCAGGTACCTTTCATGAGATTTTCAACCTCGTAGGTCATTTACACAAGAACCAAAGAGAGGTTCAGATGAACAACAACAAATTACATTTGTTAGAGAGAGCTGTACTGTGGATCTCTAATCTAGTAACGTGTAATGTGGATAATGGGTGAAAGGGGAGATTCTATTCTACTGCAATAACATTCCTGACCTTGATGTCCATAACATTGATTTCACACAAAAACAATACAGATCGGTATCAATTTGTGAACAAAAGAGAATACTGGGGATTGCATTGTATTATTTGGTAAAGTACTAATGAAGTTGTTTAGTTTCAGGCAAACATGTTGCCCAATCTATCAGTGAATGAGGACTCTGGGCACAACAAAGAGAGGAGCTTCCCATCCAATGTTTCCAGAGGTACATTATGTTAATGATGATCAGAACTATTGATCATGATCTCAAGTTATTTGTGTGCTTATCTGTTTTTAAGATTAATTTTTGTTTTAAAGTAATATAGTGTGAATGTGACAATGTTTGAATCGCTGGAAAATTCTTTTGTGGGGGTTGGGGGTAATTTTGTCTGTTTCTTCCACCTTTACAAATGAAGCCTGGAGTAAACAAATGCCAGCCATAATGCTTCGGGAAATATTCCTCAGGATATGTTTACCCATCTTGGTAATCCGCCATTGGTTCTTAATTGGTGTCAGGGGTTTATAAATGGTAAATAGCTACACATATTTACATCTGTTTGCTGCCAAGAGAGGGAATCATTTACAAAAAAAAATCACCAGAATAGTAGAATGTAGTCCACAGACATTACACTATAGCTTGGTGAGGTACTGCTCTGAATGATTTTGTATGCAAAACTTGCCTACAAAAAATTGAAGAAAGAATAGATAAATAAATAAACTGGAAAGAAGGGGAGTTATGGGTCCATGAATATTTAATGTTATGTGGAAATCCAGACTATTATTTGTTGGAAGATAAAATGGAACGGGGAGTAAAAAAGAATGCTATCTCAAACCTGTGACATTGCTTCCAGAGTGATTTGGAACAAAATCTACATTTATATAAGCTCCAAATCATTCTTCCCAGGCAAAGAGGTGAAGTTTATACACAACTATATGCAAATCATAATTCCTTCAGATCCATCAATGGCTATATACTGGAATAATTGTATATTTTGTGGGTGAACGTTGAGCCAATTTGCACAAAGCAATGTCCTACAAACAACCATAAAGTGAATGATCAATTTTAATTGGGGGATTATTGACTAGGACGCCAGGAGAAACTCCCTTCTCCTTTCGAATAACGCTGTGGGATCTTTAGCACCACCTGAACAGGAATATGGGGCCTGGTTTAACATTTCATCTGAAGGACAACACCTCCAGCATTGGTATCCCACAGTATCCCCAGCACTGCATTGGGATGTCAGCATAGACTAGGAGTTCACAGTTACAATGTAGGTGTTAAACATACAACCTTCTGACTCAGAAACAGGAGTGTCACCACCGAACCAGACTGATACACAATTTTTCAGTCCCAGATTTGATTTCCAATCTGTATTCAATTAGTTGATCTCAGCCATGTTGCAGAACGGTACAAGAATTCGCCCACAAGTAAACAGTATATTCTGTGAAGCGCTTTGAGACGTCTAGAAGACATGAAAAGCGCTATATTAAAAGTAAAGATTATTATTATTAATTTGGGAGGAATTAAATAAGCAATTGGCACTTGTATGCACCTGGAGCCAATTTGCTTGCCACTATATTCAACATTGAATAAGGAGAGATTTGCGTGATGAGTGTCTAAAGTAATGCATTTTATCCCATTCCAGCTTCACAACTCTTTCTGAAATGAGTCCAGTGCCTTGGTCTGGACAACCCTTACTAGTATCTATTTCTAGCTGTTGATTATTTACTGTGTAAAGATATATTTTATGTTTGTCCTAAAATTATCCTTCACAAGCCTGAACTTGAACGTGGAGTCCTGTAGCTCAGTGGTTAGAGCACTCGCTTTGCAAGCGAGAGACCTGAGTTCAATTCCAGGCAGAGGGCGAAACCTTGGGCAGGTTTCCTTACTCCACACAGAGCCTAATAATAATCCCTCCAAAACAAAACAATAATAAATTGGTCATTTTCAATCTACGACTGTTTGTGGGACATTGCTGTGCGCAATTGGCTGCCACATTTGCCCGCAAATATACAGTCAATTCACTTTACAGTGTGTTCTGTGAAGCGCTTTGGGACGTCCTCCCGACGTGAAAAGCGCTATATCAAATGCAAGGATTATTAATATTATTATTTATTATTGTGAAACAAAACTCCAGCGGAAGGCAAAAAGGAATCAAACGTATTCAGTAAAGGAAAAGGTGAGAAGAAGAATATTCCTTACATTTGGTATAGTGTCTTTCCTGTCAGGAAGTATCAAAGAACTTTACAGGATATACTGCAACGTGCACTGACTGTTTTGTGACCAAATGTGGCAGCCAATTTGCACACACCAATGTGACCCACAAAAAAGCTAATTTTATCAGGGGAATTGTTGGTGAGGACACTGGGAGAAACTCCCTTCTCTTTTCAAATAGTCCCATGTGGGATCTTTAACATCTACCTGAACAGGCAGACGAGGCCTTGGTTTAACATCTCATCTGAAGGATGACAATTTCAACAATGCAGCAGAACCCCAGCACTGCATTGGAGCATCAGCTTAGACTATATGAGTTCCAAGTCTTGATGTGGTGCTTAAAATAACAGAAACTAAAAAGTGGGAAGGTAAAAAGTAGATAAAAAGTAACTCCCACTTGGGGAGAATAAAATCCGCAGTCTCCTGAAGAATAAAATACAGAGTATGCCAATAAACAGCACTTTGCTGGCACATTCATATTTGAGTTGGAGATCTGACAGTTTTTCCACTATTTCTTTGCAGCCCCTGTTATTGACCGAAGTAGAAAACCTACCACGTTTGAGCATTCAGGCCCACCGATTATTGACAGAGATTCCCCAAATATGAGTAAGTGAAATTGCTCTATTCATTCATTTCAAATCTTTATTTATTCCATAGCACTTGATTTATTTCCATGTTCAGTGACACACTGTCAGCACCGTCTTACTCACTGCTCAGTGTAGTGATAACAGTTAATAAAATTCTATTCCAAACACGTATCCGTGCCTTTGTCATCTCAAAATTAGACTAGCTCCAATAATTTTCTTGTCACCCGCCCTGGGTCCATCGCTTCCAACGCATCCAAAACACTGCAGCCCATAATCTCTGCTACATCACCACCAACAACAATGATATAGCGGTTGTCACGTGGAGTAGAGCTTTGAATGCTTAGTGACGGAGGTGACCATCGACACGGTTGAAGAGGAAGGTCTTCAGGTGGGATTTGAAGATGAGCAAGGTGGGGGCAAGGCAGAGGGATTGAGGCAGAGAGTACGATTAGTTTCGGGGCGTAGAGACTGAAGGCACACCTGCTGATGATGGAACTGGGCACCTTTCCTCTCTCCCCCAAACCAGTTCTTGACACTTTCTGTTGTAAAATTAAGTGAACGGAGGGAATGAGAGACCTACAAAAGCAGTGTACAAACCTAAGCCTGCTGAGGACTGGGGTAAGGGGGTGCGGAGTTTGGTATGGGTGAGGATACAGTTGGCAAAGATTTTAATCGGTTGGATTTTATGAGTGGTGGAGCTGGGGGCAAGACAGTATAAATTTATGCATAGACAACCTGAATCACTCAGACTTTAACAATCAAGCAGAACCTCACAGAAGGCAAGGTGTAAAATCTCTACTCCCAGAGATCTTGTCACAGCAGTCAAAATGTCTAGCACTCTGAGGGCTGGGGGTGAGGGCGACCTTTACCCACTGTACCGGGCATTCATTGCGAGAGTTCACCACATTCACATTTTGCATCGACACCAGGACGATATGTGTGATATAACCCCTGCTCTTGTTTTTCAGGATTTCATTATATTTCTATATTTTATTTAATACTGCTTTTCACATTTCAGTAAAGAAACTTCCTTTTCAAGAAAAGGTAAGGCAGTTACTCTCTCCTTTCTCAGTGATGCTTATTTTCTGTGTCTCTATCTCCAAATGAATCAACAACAATAAAATTACATGTGTAAAGCGCCTTTCACAATGGGAGGATGTCCCAAGGCGCTGGACAGACAGAGTTACAAACCCGAGCTGAGGGTTGGGGTGGGGGAGGGGGGAGAGCAGGGGGTAAGCAGGGAGATCGAAAGCATGGTTGAAGAGGAGGATCTTGAGGTGGCGAGGGAGGGGGCGAGACGGATGGATTGCGAGTATGGAGTTCCAGAGGGTGGGTGCAGAGTTGCGGAAGGCCCGCCCGCTGATAGTGGGGCGATCGAGACGCGGGACATGAAGCAGGCCGCAGGCCGCTGAGCGGAGGGAACAAACAGGGTGGTAGAGGGTTAGGAGAGATAGGGAGAAGAAAGACCGTGGAGGGCTTTGAAGGTGAGGACCAGGATCTTGAACATGTATCCTCTGTGTGATGGGAATCCAGTGGAATTGGGCAAGGATGCAGGTGATAGGGTCGCGGAGCCTATTGCGGAAGAGGACATGAGCTGCAGAGTTCTGGATGATCTGCAGCCTGTGGAGGGAAGGGTTGGGGAGGCCGACAAGCAGTGAGTTTGCATAGTCGAGCCTCGATGTAATGAAGGCGCGTATGAGGGTTTCGGTGGCCTGCGGTGTGAGAGTGTCAGAGCCGAATCAGGATTTATCTTTGTTGCAAAATCATAATGGAGGTGAGATATAAGCCTTTGCATACCTACAGCAGGTACTGCTGCAGTATTCTACGATTAAAAAAATGTTTCAAGGCAGTTCAATCCAGGTTTGCCAATTCATCTCTGAAATAACCATTGAATAATTTTTTTTAGTTGCATTGAAGCATTTTTAACAAAATGTGTTTTAAATGTGGTGGAAATCATGTAAACTGTGGGGATGCAGCACTGGGCATGAATGCACTTGTAAAAAGGTTTTTTGCCCCAAATTTGAATTATTTCCATACAGATTACATTGTGAAGAAGGATTCTTAAATAATAATGTAGTAATAATCTTATGTATTTGATATAGTGGTTTACCACGTTGTCGAGATGTCTCCAAGCGCTTCACAGGATTTACAGAAAAGAGTAATTATTGTGTATTTGTAGATGAATGTGACAGCCATTTTGCACCCAACAATGTCCCACAAATAGTCATGAAGTGAATGACCAATTTTATCCAGAGAATCATTGGCCAGACACTGGTGGAAACTCCTTTCTCTTTTCGAATAATCACCATTGGATCTTTAAAGTCCACCTGAACAGGCGGATGGGACCTTGGTTTAACGTCTCATCTGAAGGACAGCACTTCTGACAATGCAACACACCAACATCACTGCATGGAAGTGTCAGCCTGGACTGTGAGTTCAAAGTCCCGACATTGGGCTTGAACCCACAACCTTCTGACTTAGAGGTTAGAGTGAACTGACACCCGTTGTGCTTAAGAGCAGAATTAGGTAACCTAGCAGGGGATGTCTTAATAATCTTAATCTTAATGTCTTAATAATAAAATTAGTCACTCACTCCATGACTGTTGTGAGACGCTGCTGTGCGCAATTGGCTGCCGCGTTTCGCCCGACAAAATATACAGTCAATTCACTTTACGGTTTATTATATGAAGGGCTTTGAGACGTCTCGAAGACCTGATAAGGCGCTGTATCAAATACAAGGATTATTATTATGGATTATTATAAAAGGATATGGGGATGGAGTAAGGAATTTGGAATACAGTAAGTTAGCTCGATTGGTATTAAAACTAACACCATTTTCTGCTCAATACGCACATGGTGGCCTCCTCCTGTGCGATAATGTCTATGAATCAATGATTTTTAAATCTTTTCACATTTATGTTATGTTTATTTGCAGCTACCAATACCAACACTACCCAGGTAAATTGAACTATTGCTCCATTTATGCCAAACTAGTCCAGAATTATGTACATTCATTTTATCATACTGTACATTAGGAGAAAACTAATGAGGTTAGAAAAATGTTGTTTCAAATCTATGGCCAGCTAGGTTTAACATTAGGATGAAGGCATTACATGGTACTTGATGGTTATGGATTATTAAGGTCAGTTATTATCCACAAAATAAAATCCTCTGTATTTTGCCAGTTTTTCATAGAACAATTGGGGGAGAGGGAGGGTTTCATAAAAAAAGGGTAATTTCAATGAAAATTATGATTTATTTTGGAATAATAAAAAATAATAATAAAAAATAATAATAAAAAATCTCAAGAAAACAAACCAAAACTAATCAAAACAGTTACTTTACCGATGAACACAATTATTGATACAATAAAACAGTTACTTTGTCACTATAGTACAGTCCCACACTGTGCCAGGCCTTCCATTTTTGCCACTGTTTCTGACTCTTCTTCTCTCATTCCTCTCTCAACGTGGGTCTGATTTGAATGGCTCCCAAACCATCATATCATAATGGGGTTCGACTATTACAAAACAAGAAGGGAATTTAGGAAAACGAGTAGCAATAGCACCGACACCACTGGCTGAGTGGCCCCATTCTGCGCAGAATATTTATGTTAATGTGCTTCAAACAACTTGTATTTTCTAGGCCTTCTTTTGGTAGTAAACCAACCGATTCGTTCCCCCGGATGGCGAAACCAACTGTGTCAGCAGATAGAAGTAATTCAACACTGGGACGGAGACAGACATCACCACGGTAAGTAAAATAGATTCAGTTATCTCCTAAATGCAATACAATGCAAAATTACAATACAAATTTACATTTGTATAGTGCCTTTCACGTTGGGAGGAGGTCCCAGCAAAATAGAGAGCGAGGGTGCAAGGTGAGCAAATGAGAGTGGGGTGAAAGAACAGAATCTAATTAGCTGTCCCTCTCAACCCCAGTAGAAGTTCGAAGCATTTTTGAAGAAGTTTTAACCTGAGCTATTTTTTTCAGGCCCTGTGTACCGGATAGGAGACCTGATGTAAGTATGCAGAGGAAAATACTACTATGACTATTATCCACCAGAATAAATCAATATTACTAAGGAATTAAGATGTTAATCGTAGAGATTTACTGGAACAGAATTTCACCATTTTCTTTCTTTCCTTCAGTCTTGTTTCAAGATATTAAAGGATCTTTCTCTTTATTCACAGGAAGAAGAGGAGAGTGAGTAAACCATGTTAGCTGTGTCTCCCATTGCCTGTACCTCTCGCACATCCTTTTTACACCTGTCTACTTCCCTCTTGAAACCCAAATGGACTCTTGGCAGTGCATTCCATATCCCAACAACTTTCTGAGTGAAAACATTTTGCCTAACCTTTCATTTTGCTGTTGTGACTATCTAGTAACTGTAGCCCCTTGTCACCAATCCTCCTACTAATGTAAATAGCTTCTCCCTTGCCAGTGGAAACAGTTTACCCTGTCAAAACCCCTCATAATTTTGTAGACCTCTGTCAGATCCCCTCTCAACCTCTCTGCTCCAATGAAAGTCGACCCAACTTTTCCAATCTCTCCTCATAACTAAGCCCCCTTATCCCTGGTACTGGTGCCTATGGAATCACACCTCAGCATGATTACCAGTTTTCAAGTAAGGAATTGGAAGTTGAACCTCTAATGTCCCCCACTCACCAGTTCTCTCCATTCTTAACTTGCAACGGAAAAGCATTCTCTCCAGCCTGCACCAAAGCCACTCTGAGTCAAATCCTAGGAAGTGTGATCTCAGGGCCTTGACACCCTGCAATCCATTGGGGAATCTCTATCAGCCCTTCTCCGCAGCTGAAATAAAAATGTAATATTCTGCCCTGTGTATCCCTGGCGAATTCTGTATCCGTGAATGTAGTGTTGTTCAGTGCCATTCATTATAATTGTGCCTTCTCCTGTCACAAGACTTCCACTGGAAGGATGTAAGGTTCTGCTTGCAGGAAATTATACTCTTCCCTCTTCTGTTCAGGCTTTTCTCAGAGACCTTTACCTCGACCTGTTGATGCTGCATTGAATGCCAACACGTTCCCATACAGAACTCCCAGACCAGGACCCAAGCATTGCTTCCCAGGAGGCAACAACCTGCCCCTTTCGAGTGGAGAAAGGTATTTGTCCCAACTGCAATCTTCCTTCATCAACGATAACTGTTATATCAAACATGAATTACATCAATCTGTCGATTCCAAAGATAAGTCCAATGTGCAGTGTTTGAAAGTGGGGCCAGAAAGGCTAAAAACCCACAAATGGTGAGAGAGGAATGGAAAGTGACATGAAGCTCACTGAGTGAAGGGACCAACTGGGTTGGTAGAGTTTGAGGAGGGTGCAGAAGTAGAATTGGATAAGACCAAGGAGGGATTTAAAGGTGAGAACAAGGATCTTGAACTGCTGGGGACTGGAGAGCCAAGTAAGGAAGGGTGTGATAGGCTCTGAGACTGGGGCAGGAAAGGATGTGGGCTGCAAGATAGTCTGCAGCTTGTGTGGAGAAAGGCTGGGGAGTCCAGCTAGCTGAGCATTGGCAACGTCAAACCTGGACTTGATAAATGCATGGATGAGGGTCTCAGTGGTCTGACCAGAGAGGTAGTGACAGAGGTGGGCAATGTTTTGGAGGTGGGGAAAGCTGAGCGAGTCAGAGCACAGATGTGGGATTGAAGCACAATTGGGAGTCAGACAAGATTACACTAGCTCCGTGAGATGGAATCTGCATCCATGCAGGTTGATGCAATCAGCGCCTGAGGTGAAAAGGGACTGATGGGAGCCAAGCAGGAGAGCCTCTGCCTTGTCAACATCTTGTTAAAGTAAGCTCACATCCAGAACTTGATGTCTGACAAGCATTTAGTCAGGACAGCAGTGGTTCTGGAATAAAGGATGGAGGCAGAGCAATAGAAGAAGTGTCATCCACATCTGTGTGTACGTTAACCCCATGTCTGTGGATGACATTGCTGAATGAGAGCATATTAGTGAAGAGGAGAGGACCAAGGACAGAGCCGTGAGGAACGCCGCATGTTACCATTTGGGATCGGAAGAAAAAGCTGTTAGAAGAGACACAGATAGGGTAAAATTGAACCAGAATAGGACAGAACCATGAAGGTAGAACTAAGAGGAGAGGCGGCAGAGAAGAATAGAGTGGTTAAAAGGTGTTCAGGTTTAAGGTTGCATGACACTATTTGAAAGAGAAGGAGAGTTTCCCCCAGTGCCCTCGCCAACAATCCCACAAATAAAATTGGTTATTCACTTCATGCCTGTTCACTTATAAATACACAATGACTACACTTCACAGTAAAATCCTGTGAAGTTCTTTGAGACGTCTCAATGATGTGATAAAGCACTATATCAAATGCAAGGATTAATTTTTCAGTATACATACGCACCAGATCCCATTTTACTACCAGCTCTTTTGCCCACCGTGGATGTCCTTTATGCAACAATAATGACAGCTGAAGAGTTTAAATCTGCCTGTATGATATCAGATTAGATTGGAATTCAGTTGATAATTTGTTTAACTCCAGTGGCAGCTGATGACGTTTTCAACAGGTGAGGCAATCTAAGTTTGCCTCGCCAAGCAATCTTGTTACCACAGCAATGGACCCTTAACACATGCCCGATGTCATGCCCTCCCGACCGCTGCCCTTGCTCCCACACCGATATCGGAATGATCGCTGGGTGAGGCAATGCTTCACCTGCTGAGCCACCACAGTTTAACTCCACTAATTTTTTTTTCTGTATCCCCCGACAACAGTCTATCACCAAGTGGATCCTTGCCACCACGTTTTCAACAAGGTAAGGCATTGATCCTATGATTCTATAAGAGCGGGGGAGTGTGACTGATTGGGTAGCTCTTCCAAAGAGCCGGCACAGTCAGAATGGGCCGAATGGCCTCCTTCTGTGTTGTAATATTCTACGATTCTATGGTGTGAATCTATCCATCTGCACTGCTGACACTCCAGTCTCAGAGTAAATGCTCTCTCACAAGCTGATCTTGAAATGTAATTTTCATTTCCTTGTTTCTGTACGTCTTAAGAGGTCGAGATGCCATCTGGTGTGAAGAGCGCTACATAAATGCAAGTTGTTGTTGTTAAAATGCAGTTTGTAACACGTTTGCTGCACAGAAGTTCGAATGGCTCATTCAATAAGTTACTTGAAACGTCTGTGTGAAAACTAATAAGATAATAGCTGTATCTACACCACCATCGGAATTTATTGAGCGTATTGGGGTCCAATTTCATTTGTAATGAAAACACAATAATGCTGCTTTCAATTTAACAAGTCAATTTGTGATGAACCTGTGAGGTTACTTGTGAAATGCAACGTTCAAATGCTTAATTGGAGCTGATTAGCTGTATTTGTTGACCTCACATTCCATGCGTCGTTGCTGTTGTTGTTGTTGATGGACAACCCTCCTGGCTCAGGAAAAGGACTACCAGTACAGAGTTTGAGCAGAAGCTGCTTACCTCTGCATACCAATCAAGGTGTGTCAGAATGTCTCTCTTGGTCTTGCTCTCAACTCTGAGTCAGAAGGTTGTGGGTTCAAAACTGTGTCGGGACTTGGAACTCATATAGTCAAACTGACACTCCATTTCAGTGCTGGTAGGACGCTGCATTAAGCGCTCTGGGACGACACCCCACATGAAGGGCGCTATATAAATGCAAGTTATTGCATTGTCAGAGATGCTGTCCTTCAGATGAGACATTAAATCAAGTCTGTTCAGGTGGATATTGAAGACCCCATTGCACGATTCAGAATAAAAAAGATAGTTTCTGACTAACAATACCCCAGATAAAATTGGGTCACACACCTCATTTCTGTTTGTGAGACATCTGTCGTTTTTGCCTATAAAACACATTTTACAACGTATTTTACACTTTAAGGTATATTCTGTGAGGTGCTTTGATGTGGAAGAGGCTGTACAAATGTACATTTGTGTTTCCATTTGTATTTGTTGTAAGGTGAAAATCGCTTTTGATTAACTATGCTACAGCTGAGTGATTTTAAAATAGCCAAAGATTAACAAATACATTTCCGTTGCTTAAGAAAATTCATGAGGACAGTTCCAAACACTTCATTTGAGTGTTATAAGAGAGGTAATAATAGGGTTATACATTAATTATAACTTCCACACCTTAATAGTTTTCCCATTAAAAGATACAGGAACATAATCCCTTTATTCAATAGCCATTTACTTGACAGTATCCAGCAGCTACCAATCCTGGCAGAATTTTCAGCCCAATAGTCCGTCAGAGAGAGAAAACTTTTGTTGTTCGTTCGGAGGAAGTTTAGAAATATAAACTCTGTGGTCTGTTCAGCAATGGCTGTGGTCATATCGCATGACTCTGTATTTATTTCCTGTTACTCTCTGCGGCACTAGTACTATTTACAGATCCTATCGCTTTCCACAAGACTGCATTTTCAAAATGACTGCTTACAAATAAATCTATAAAAATATATAACATTTTCTAAATACGGTATTGCCTACACAAAATGCAGTGCATATTTAGAAACTAACCAAAACAGGGTTAGCGTTTAAAAAACATTTTAAAAACGTTTAGAATTCCCCAAATTTTGCCCCTATGTTTCTATTGAGAAAAGAAGGCTCAGGGGAAATCGCATTTTCATAGAATTATAGAATCATACAGCACAAAAGGAGGCCATTCGGCCCATCATGTCTGTGCCGGCTCTTTGAAAAGAGCTATTCAAATCAATCCTACTCCCACGCTTCCTCCATTACAGGTTATAGATAAATTGTGGTAATGAATTACAATGAATTATGAGTTAAACTGAACTCTAAGAATATTTCTAACATGAAAAAAATGGTCACTGAATCCACGACTCTTTGTGGGACACCGGCATGTGAACTGGCTGCCGTGTTTCGCCCACAAAATATAGTCAATTCACTTTACAGTATATTCTGTGAAGCGCTTTGAGACGTCTCGAAGACGTGATAAGGCGCTGTATCAAATGTAAGGATTATTATTATATTATTATAATTGCTTGCTTAATGTTGTTTCTACCTTAAAGTTGCTGATTATATTTCCAATACGCAGATGTCAAGCAGTCTTTCTCAAGAGCCCCAAATGATGTGAGACCACCACCACCTCTACCATCCAGTAAAGGCCGGCCCATGGCACCAACACCACAAGAAGAGGTATGGGAAGGTAGCAGTGTCTCAGTTAGCACTAGCAATCCATTGTATCATTATAGACCCGGGTTTGATTCCCGGCTGGGCGAAATGTTGGGTAAGTTTCCTTACTCCACATGCCTGTTTACCCAGCAGTAAGTAGGAATCTGGTTGTTAGTTAATTGGCAGATCGCTTTTCTGGGGATAGTAATCCCTCGAAAAAAATAATAATTTAGTCACTCAATCCGCGACACTGTTTGCGAGGCACTGCTGTGCGCAGTTGGCTGCCGTGTTTTGCCCACAAATTATGCAGTCAATTCACTTTATAGCATATAAACACAAACTGACGGATGAAGCTATCGGAGCTTGGAATATTCACACCAGAGGATTCACCAATTTAGGGAAGGTCTGATTGAAACGACGTATGTCTTCTCCCTCTGGTGGTTATAATGAGACCTGGCACCTCAGCACTAACGTTAAAACCTGATAAAACCTCGCTTTTGCAGTGCATGGGGTAAAGTTTGTAACATTTTCAATATTCCTTGTGTTACTTCTCACCAGACTGCAGAGCAGATTGTCACCTTGACGTGATAAGGCACTATATCAAATGCAAGGATTATTGTTGTTATCTCTGATATTATTGAAGCAGAGATAAGTCAAATTATTAAATGGTAGACCCCAGAGTGGCCTCTAAATTATATTTTTATTTAATGTTAATTTTTCAGCATTGATCTGTTAATGTGCGCTGACACAAATAGTCATATCTTGTTTGGCATTCACTTAAGATATTTAGGGCCATTTGTGATTGTTGGTAAATTCACTAACCAGCATAATCAGGCTTATGTGACTCTGGAAACAGTTTCACTACGAAAAAAAAACCTTTACGTCAACTCCTGTCTTTCAGTTTCTGTCCAGGGAATGGTATGCTGGCGATATAAGGCGATCGGAAGCAGAATCAGCTCTGAGAAGCATCAATGAGGTAAAACAAACATTCTATGGGACCGAAAAATTGAAGTAGATAGAATTTCTTTTGTGATGCAAGGCAAGCTTGATTACATTCATTTAAAAAAATGTGAGTAGACTAGACCCAAGCCTCCATGTCAAGTGCTAAAAGTGATTATTTGGCCAAGGAGAACGTGGGTTAATAGGGGAAATGTTTCGCCCGCAAAATATGCAGTCAATTCACTTTATGACGTCTTCTGTGAAGCGCTTTGCGACGTCTTGAAGACGTGATAAGGAGCTATATCAAATGCAAGGATCACTATTAATATTAAATGACTATCACTATCCATTCAAATTATCTGTATTTGGCAAACTCAGGCTTGCTGCATGGTACCCAACTGCTCTTTGCCGCCGTTGGCAACTGAGTTTTTATATTCCAAGACGGATTATAAAGGCTAGTGTCCCATTTGCCTTAATTAATGTTTTCTGCACCTGTGAATTCGATTTTGACACTCTTAGCTTGAACCCCTAGATCTCTGCGCAACTACACCTCCAAGTGTTTCTCCATTCAGAACATATTCCTAACCGCTATTCCTCCATTCCAAATACTACCTCATACTTTGCAATGTTAAATTCCAGTCGCCCTAGTTCCTCTCACTTGCTTATTCTGTCTATGGTCTTTGAATTTTAGCCTGTCCTCTTCACAATTGGTAACATCTCCTATCTTAGTGTCATCTAAAAACATAGGGCCTAAATAATCTACTGAAGTCATAAAAGGTTCTGTGATCCGTCTATATGATACAGTTTAACATAGATTCCATCTACCTGTTAGGAGGCACTTTGCCAAAATAAGAGTTTCGCCCAATGTAATACGTACTCACTCAGTGCCACGTTGAGTCTTGACAAAAATCCAAACTACTCTATCACAACACACAATGTGCCTCTTTCCCAGTATCCTTTTATATATTGCTAAGCAGTCCCAATTTGTTCTCTTGATTTCTTGAATTAAATGTTGTGATCTTCAAAGTGATCTCTCCGCACCCCGCTCAGCCTGCTTCACGTTCCCGGCTCATTCTGCTCTCGCTTGCCCATTCCGCTTTCTGCTCTCACTCTCTGGAATTCCATCACAGAATACGCATGCCTTACCTCGTCTCTCCCGCCTTCGAACCCCACCTAAACACTTAATTTTTTCAGCCTCCCTCCCCCCACTCCCCTGCACCAGCTCCCTCCTACAGCTGATTTCCCAATCAGCTGTAAGAACTTTGAGTTGTTCTCCCAACATGAAAAGTGCTATATAAATCTAAATTATTCATTTTGTTCAGAGGAGAAAAAGCTTATGGGTGTTATTCCACCCAAATGAAGGTCATGTTGAAATGTTTCATAGTTACCATTATGAAGCAAACACTCTGTGGTAGACATACATAGGCATTCACTGGTGAGGAAAGATATATCACTTATGTTTTAATGGATTAATGAAGGTTAGTTCTCAATAAAAAAACTTTTCCTGAACATTAATTCTAGCATTAATTTTAATAATACAATTAAATTCACTGCATGAATCAATGCACATTTGGGTGATTGATATTATTAATAATAATGCTAATTCTGAGGCAGCTACACAAGAAGGCAGACATTCAGAGGTGTGAAGGAAGTTTAGGACAAACTGCAGCAAGTAATTCTTTACATAAAGGGTATTTAACAGCTGGAAAGGGTTACTAAAATGGGTGGTAGAGAACTTGTTGGACTAATTTAAGAAATGGCCTAATGTTACAATAGAAATACAATAGAGCAGCTATTCTTGGGGGATAAGATCAAATGGGCTCAAAGAACTTTCTTCATCCATACGTCTCTTGTGAATGCTAAAATCAGGGAAAGATTCTCAAACCATGGATTTAATAAGAGTTAGAATAAAGTAATTTTTGCACCAATATAATTTAAGTATTTTTTCTCGCTGGTGAGAAAATTAAATATTGTAGCAAATATGGATTCTCCCTGCCAACCTGCAAGGCCATTCCTCAGACAGGAGCCAAAGACTGAATGTTAACCTTCAAGACCCGTCTCAAGGCCCTCCTCTTCAACCGTGCCTTTGATCACCCTCTTACCCCTCCCCGCCCCGCCCTTCACCCCTCCTGATCCCAACCACCAGCTCGGGTGCAGATCCCTGATTGTCCAGTGCCTTGGGACGTTCTCCTGATGGCACTATACAAGTGTAATTTGTTTATGTTAATCAGTCCCGACTTCCATGTCCAAAATTAGGATTATTTACCACCTTATCCCAGGTTTACTGCGGCCCCAATGCAAATAGATTCCTCAGAAGCTCTTTGGTAGTTAGTTGCCTAACCACCAAAGTGGCACCAGCAATGTGATCAATATCCCCCTGCAGGATGGCACTTTCCTGGTGAGGAACAGTTCGAAGGGAAGCATTGAACAGCCATATGTCCTGATGGTATTGTACGGGAACAAAGTCTACAACATACAGATTCGCTACCAGGAACAGACCAATTTGTATTTATTGGGCACTGGACTCAGGGGAAAGGAGGTAAGCCTATTTCTGATTATATACAATATGTTTAACTTTGTTCAATGTTACTTTATGTTCTATATTCTTTCTCCCCTTCCTGAACCGTACAACACAATTTGGAGGCAAGTGTGGAATCAGGCCCTGCCCCTAATCGCTGGGTGTATGTTGCTCTGCTCCACCAATCGATGGCAATATTTCCACCTGTGGCCTTTGTGCCAAACAGCTGGAGGGCCCCTGTTACATGGGATATCTGCCACCTGATAACTGTGCCTTAATTCACTCACTCAGCTGAGTCTCTGTTTCGTTGAAGATGTTTTGTCCAAGGAATTTCAATAATGATCAAACTCGTTCTTTATCGTGCTTTGAAACATCCTCCCAACATGAAAGGTGCTATAGAAATGTAGTGTTGCAGTTTAGACATGTAGTAACAGCCAACTATAATGTTCAAACCAATGCCAGAAAAATATCTGTGCTTTGCATCAAGGTGTATTCCATGCCATAGACTGTGTTTAGGCTTGTGTTGTCCATGCTACTATTGTTAACGTTTAAATATGTTGACCATTTCAGCAACTGAAGTGGTCAAAAGCAGGACAGCATAGGATCTATTATTCGCCACTGTCCTTTCCGTGATCCTGACACTCAAAGGTTTTGTCTTTCTGCAGAACTTTGGCTCTGTGGCTGAAATTGTGGAGTACTACACGCAAACACCACTTCTCCTGATTGATGGGAAGGACCGAAGTGGGGGTCAAAGAAAGCAGTGCACATTGACCTACGCGGCCATTCAATAAACATGCTTCAGCTAAATTCTGGCAATCATAAGCCCAACAGAGCACAGTCTGGCTCACATAGAGCAGGCTGCATTTCCACCTAAATATTCTCGTATCATAGTTNAAAAAATCCTCACAAAATTCTTTTAACCACAAATACTTCTTCACATTGCAGTTAGTCAGCCACTGCAGTCCTGATCGAATTGCAAATATACCCTTTGCATTGCCTTTCCTGTGACACCTCCAGAATTGCCGTCACTCCCAGTAACTGATAACAGTGACGCTTTTGCGTTCCAGTGGAAAGGCCAATTCTTTCAAATATAAAAGGTGAGGCTGGGCCAAGAGCTTCTACCAGCAACACAAGGAATAAAACTCCAATTTGTGTAATCACTTTGATTTTGTGCAGAACAATCTCATGGCTTACTGGGATATTTGGTTGGAACTATGTTCTTGCAGTTTGCGTGAGATTAGGTGGTCTGGGGGGAGACTCGTTTTACATTCTAAGTTGCGAGGCAGTAGTTTTCCTAATAAAAGTTTAATGATCCTCATCTATATGTTAAATATCTTTTGAAGGATTTGTTCTTGTGCAGAGCAACTGCATAGAGTGAGATGATTTGCTGATACCATGTAAATAGCTTTTAAGAGAGGTCTTTTGAGTAGAGTAACTGTCAGTTAACTCTTCAACAGAGCTTTCTGCCCTCAAACTTCCTCTATTCTAGCTGGTTCTTGTTTCTATTTCCATTATTCTATTATACTTGGTTGGTACAATTTTACCAGCTGGTTTATCAACTATAGTTTGAAGTGTAATTGGTTGTGAAAGTCCAACCTTTGACTCACTCCATTAGAAACATTCACATCAAAATGTGAATAGAATGTCGATCCAGGCGTCCTTGTCTCACTTCTCCCCATTAATTATAATCAGTCCATTCACCTACTCAAGAGACATAAGCACATAATGTGCAGTGCGGGTCAGTCAAGCTCACATATGGCAGCCTGACACAGTGATAGCTCTCATCTCTGAATCAGAAGGTTGTGGGTTCAAGCCCCACTTTGGGCCTTGGAATCACGTAGTCTAAGCTGACACTCCAATGCAGAGCTGGGGGAGTGTTGCATTGTTGGAGGTGCCATCCTTCAGATGAGGGGTTAAACCAAGGAGCCATCTGCCTGTTCGGATGGACGTTACAGATCCCATGGCACTATTCGAAAAGAGGAGGGAGTTTCTTCAGGTGTCCTGGACAACAATCCTCCAAATAAAATTGGTCAGTCACTCCACGGCTGTTTGTGGCACATTACTGTGCACAATTGACTGCCGCATTTCGCCCACAAAACATGGTCAATTTACTTTATAGTCTATTCTGTGGAGGGCTTTGAGACATCTAGAAGATTTGAAAAGCGCTAAACCAAATGCCAGGATTATTATTATTATTGTGAAGCATTTTGAAATGTCTCAATGACGTGATAAGACATTATGTCAAATGCAAGTATTATTATTAATTGAAGATAACTAGCAACCAAGAAAATGGGGAGGTTAGGAGAAATTTGGATTTCACACACAAACAAAAATCTTTGATGATGGCAGAAGTTGACAAAACATTTAAAAAAGCATGACACTCTTGGCTTTATAAATAGAGGCAGGGAATACTAAAGCAAGGAAGTTATGCCACACCTTTACAAATCATTGGTTAGGCCTCAGCTGGACTATTGTGTCCAATTCTGGGCACCACATTTTAGGAAGCAGGTCAGGGCCTTGGAGAAGTGCAGAGATTTACAAGAATAATACCAGGCTTGAAGAACTTCAATTATATGGAGAGACTGGAGAGGCTGGAACTATTCTCCTTAGAGCGGAGAAAATTGAAATGAGATTTTATAGAGGTGCTCAAAATTATGCGGGGCTTTGATAATAGATAGGAAAAAAATGTTTCCTCTGGCTGGTGGGCCGGTAACTAGAGGACAGATTTAAGATAATTGGCAAAAGGAGAAGAGAATTTTTTTTACCGTGGTAAACTGATGTCATGTCTGCCTGTTCAGGTGGATGTGAAAGATCTTAGGCATATTCGAAAAAGGAAGCGAAGTGTTTGGGTCGATAATTCCCTGGGTTCTTGCAATCCCTCTTTTGTCCAAGCATTTGTCCTCATTCATGCACAGACCTCATTGCATCTCACACACGGCCAACAAGCACCCACTGCCTCTCTCGCACAGCCACCAAGCACCCACTGCCTCTCTCGCACAGCCAACAAGCACCCACTGCCTCTCTCGCACAGCCAACAAGCACCCACTGCCTCTCTCGCACAGCCAACAAGCACCCACTGCCTCTCTCGCACAGCCAACAAGCACCCACTGCCTCTCTCGCACAGCCAACAAGCACCCACTGCCTCTCTCGCACAGCCACCAAGCACCCACTGCCTCTCTCACACAGCCAACAAGCACCCACTGCCTCTCACACAGCCAACAAGCACCCACTGCCTCTCTCGCACAGCCAACAAGCACCCACTGCCTCTCTCGCACAGCCAACAAGCACCCACTGCCTCTCTCGCACAGCCAACAAGCACCCACTGCCTCTCACACAGCCAACAAGCACCCACTGCCTCTCACACAGCCAACAAGCACCCACTGCCTCTCGCACAGCCAACAAGCACCCACTGCCTCTCTCGCACAGCCAACAAGCACCCACTGCCTCTCACACAGCCAACAAGCACCCACTGCCTCTCTCACAGAGCCAACAAGCACCCACTGCCTCTCTCGCACAGCCACTATCTTTGAAGTCTTGATAGCTCTAATTATTCGGTTCGGACAGGACTGTCCATTGATGTGTTGGTGATAAAATCCTAGGGAATCAAAGGTTTGAGAGACTTGAGACAGGAAGAAACGGGAGAAGTCCTGCAAATTATCTTGATTGATTGTTCTTGTAACTTTGTAAGTCATTGTTTCTATTAAATTTTTGGAAAATCCAACCAGATTATCTGTCATCGTTAACCACAAGCTACTTCTGAACTGATTGGAACAATTACATCCGACAATGGAAGTATTAAATCTGGTGAAACTAGTCTGTATCTCGAGGACTGAGTTTGTGACACAATCTTTGTTGATTTTTTTTGACAAAAATTGTTTGAATCTTAAGAGTGACTTTAGGCTTTCTCCAGCAATCATCCAGGCGACTCAATGTGGTTCTCGCTGTGGGTACCCGAGAAGAGGCCGTACAGCACCGAGGGTCGTGACCATAGGGAACTGGCTGTTATACCACAGAGAACACGAACAAAGTTGTGCAGAAGACACGTAATAATACTTACATTTGATGTAGCACTTTATCGTGTCTTTGAGACATTTCAAAACGCTTCACAGAATATACTGTAAAGTTAAATTACTGTATATTTTGTGGGCAAAACGTGGCAGCCAATTGCACACAGCGGCGTCCCACAAACAGTCGTGGATTGAGTGACCAAATTATTATTATTTGACTAACAACTGGATTCATGCTAGGTGAAGAGGCATGTGGAGTAAGGAAACTTGCCCAACGCTTTGCCCTGCCCAGGAATCGAATCCAGGTCCTCTCGCTTGCGAGGCGAGTGCTCTAACCACTGAGCTACAGGACTCCATGTGGGGATACATAAAACACCCACAGCTGCACATACAAGGGAATAAGACATCACAAAAACACACACTTCCCTTGTGGTTATGTAGACATCCACACAATCAAGGTGACGCAGATACCCGCGCCTAACACAAGTAGTTAAATACACAGTCGCACACACACATATATATATAGTCACAAAATGAAACAAATGTATAAACCTGGAGTCTACATTATTTTAAAATGCGAGTAGGTGAATAGGTTTTGTTACCAGACCAGGCTTCAAAATAACGCTACGCTAGTGAGACAGAAAACTAGAGGAATCGCATCGATTTCAGCAGCTTTTAACGCAGTGCTTCGGATAGCCTTTGTGATCTGAGATGCTACCTCATGCGAAGGGCGCTATATAACTTCAAGTTGTTGCGTATAATGGATTCACTGGAGCCATTGGTTTGATCAGGAACAAGCTGGATTCCATTCTCATGAAGAGTGTGTACAGCAGATTGTGGCTGCGTGTGAGATTGAAGAACATTGTAAGGCTAAGGGAAAGCCCACCTCATTTGAGGTATTTTATTAATGTAAATGGAAGTAACAAAATAAAAGATTTTTATTGGGTAAAATGAGATAACGTGAAATTCCCCCCAAATTATAAAAAAAATTTGCAGGGTGATTTCCCAGATACCTAGTCGGCCCCTGCTCAAGAGGATCAGTCCCAGGATCAGTTCCAATTGTTGACTCTTATCGATATCTGAAGGTCGTGGTGGACACCAGCTTTTGCTCAGACACTGCCCTGAATAGGCAGAGAAGGACAGAGTATTCTGGTTGATCAAACACATGCACACTCGCCCACAAATGGAGGCAGTCATTTCTCACACATTGACATGCACATATGCAGAAAAAAATTAGTAATTTCTTTGTTCCCGAGAATTATAAGACAAAATAGGAACATAATGGAAGAGATAACTTTAATATTTAAGACTGTAAACAAACAGAGCTGTAGAGCTCCTCGCAAACTAGGTTAAATTATCTTATCAGATGTAAGCATCGCATGTTGTGGATGGGGGAATAAGGTCTCTGGGTGGGGAGCTGTATTTGTTGAAGAAGGAACTGTAGATGGAGGGAAGATAAGCTCACAAAGTGCTATGGGTTAGTACTTCATCTAATCTTCTGGGAAACGATGGTAGTGCCAGTTTGGAACATCAGGATGTTTCCTAAGCATTTCGAGCATCAGAAAGTTCACCTGCACAAATGAAAGAAAAGATGAGCTGAAGCTAAACTTCCATAGAATCAATAAACTGGCACAGCAACAGGCAATTTGATGTCTGCACTGGTGTTTTTCTCGAAACGAACTGAATCAAATTCCATTCTTGTGCTTGCTCCACAAACCCTTTAATATTACTCCTCTTCAAGCATCTATTCAAAATAATTTGTGGATCCTACTTCAACCTGTTTGGAATATGGATTTATATACCCAAACAGCCTCTCCTCAGTGTAAAAAGAAATGTTTTCTAACCTCCCCTTCAATTTATTTTGTGATTATCTTCAATTTATGGTGTGTCGTTATTGAATTGCCAACCAGTGAAAATAATCAATCAATAATTACCACCAAGTAATAAGCTAGAAAGCATAATTATTCTGAAAAATTAGATTATAGCTTTGTCAGATATTGCTATAGACTTGTTGGGGTAGAGACAGCAAGAAAGAGAATGATGTGGCAATATTAATCAAGGTGTCCATAAAGGGCATAAAGGGAATGGATAGAGGATGGTCAGACTGAATCAATCTGTGAAGTAAGAAATGAGAACAGTTCAATAACAACAACCACAAGGTTACATTTGTACAGCGCCTTTCACGTTAGGAGGATGTCCCAAGGCTCTGGACAGTGTACAGCATTTCAGACCCGAGCTGGGGTCAGGGAGGGAGAAGTTCAGCAACAATATTTCCAATGCGATGTAGACTAGTCACAAAAAAATTATTCCGTTGCCTAGCACGTGACCCCGCAGCCAGTTCAGCTACAACAGCTTGCAGTTATATAGCACCCCTCACGCAGGGTAGTGTCCTGGAGCGCTTGGCAGTGGGGGAGCTTGACGCCAAGCCGGGGGAAGATGGAGGTGACCGTAGCCACGGACGAACAGGAAGGTCTTTAGGCACGACCTGAAGATGGGGAAGGAAGGGGAAAGGCAGAGGAATAGAGGAAGAGTATTCCAGAGTTTCGGGGAGTAGTGGCCAAAAGCATGGCCATCGATGGAAAGCACGAGGGTCATGCAGAAGCCCAGAACTACAAGGAGACCTCGCTTACTTCCCCCTTCCCCAAAGAGGCTGCTCGCCAGACTACGCCATTACCTCACCCCTCACGCTGCTGAAACCCTGGTCCACGCCTTTGTCACCTCAAGGCTGGACTATGGGAACTCTCTCCTCGCCGGCCTTCCCGCCACCTCCCTCCACAAGCTGCAGGTCATTCAGAACTCTGCAGCTCGTGTACTGTCCCGCACCAGGCTTCGGGACCACATCACTCCCACCCTCGCTCGCCTCCACTGGCTCCCCATCCCCCAGAGGATTGATTTCAAGATCCTCATCCTCACCTACAAGGCCATTCACGGCCTTGCTCCCTCCTACCTCTCCAACCTACTATCCTATTGAGTCCTCACTGGGTGGATGGTAGGTACTCCTTATGTAAGCTTCCTGGTGGGCAACGCAGCTCAGCATGAAATGCGTGACAACATTGCACCCATCTTCCTGCCACAGCTCAGATACACATCTCTTCGCAATGAGCAATGGTTCCACCAGCTTAAAATGCAGCTGCTTACCTCCCTGCCTTCCGCCACTCTGCACCAACTCCATCCCGCAGTCCCTGCATCTCGCCCCCTTCCCTCATCACCTTCAAGACCCACCTCAAGACCCTCCCCTACGACCGTGCTTTCGATCTCCCTGCTCACCCCCCTGCCCTCCACCCTCCCCCATCTCGACCCTCAGCTCCGGTCCCTAACGGTCTGTCCAGCACCTTGGGATGTCCTCCCGAAGTGAAAGGGGCTAAACAAATGTAATTTTGTTGTTGTTGCATACCTATCAAAATGGATTCCAAGCCCCAATGTATACACGCATTCACAAACTCACTCCAGGTAATGCTTGCCAGCAACTGTCGTCCCAAGTCTTAAGAATTTTCTCGTCAGCTATCTGGGATATCTATGGAGTGGTGGGAGGACCTTTCAGGGCAGTATGTGACATGCCAGCCACCTTGCTGTTCTCAAGGTTTGTTTTTATTGGAGCAAAGATTGAGAGGCAACCTGATAGAGGTGAACACAATTATGTTTGACACGGTTACCGTTTGACAGGGTAAATAAGGAGAAGCTATTTCCACTGGTAGAGCTATCTCTCTCTTTCTCTCTGCGTCACTGCCTCTCTCTGTCTCGGCCTGTCTCCCTCTCTGTTTGTGTGTGTTTGCTGTGGCTACACTTCTCACTGCTTGCCCTATCCTCATAGCCCTTCAAACTTTGTTCTTTCAGATGCCTGTCTATTTCCCTTTTGAAACTCATAAAGGACTTCTATCACTTTACTTGGAAGGATACTTCAGATCCCATCAACTCTGTGTGAAGAAAATTAAACGAAGCTCTACTTTCGCTCTTGCAATTATCTTGTATCTGTTTCCTGCATTCACAGACTTGTCCCTATTCACATGACAACAACAAAAGCCAAATCTCTCTCGTGTCACGCAGTCAGCCTTCCGGGGTCACAACACCTGCAAAGACAGACTGCACCACAAAGAGATAGACACAAAGACTCACAGAGACTCAGAGGCAGGCTGATCAACAGAGGCAGAGAGACAGAGATAGAGACAGACAGAGACGGACAGACAAATAGGCACAAAGACATATAGAGAGGCTGATAAACAGAGGCACAGGCAGAGAGACTGAGGGATAGACAGACGGAGGGACAGACAGACAAAGGGACAGACAGACAAAAGGAGTCAGGGCACAAACAGTGTTACGCATAAACATACGTGCTGGGCTCCGAGCTGGTGTAATTGTACTCAGCAGTGCCATTCTGCAACAAGATGCTTCTTCCCTTTCTCCGAGATCGCACTGTCATGAAGAGAAAAATAGGCAGAGTTGGAGGTTAGATTCGGGAAGATGACCAAAGACGCAGTCAAAGAGGAAGGTCTTGAGGTGGAATTTAAAGGCGGCAAGGGAGAGGGCGAGGCAAAGAAATTCTGGGATGGAGTTCCAAAGGATAAGGGCAGAAAGGCTGAAAGCCCGATTGCTAATGGTGGGGTGGGCAGGATGGGGGCCAGTTCCCGCCGAGCAGAGAGAGCAGGTGAGTTGGTCAGGTTTAAAAAATTTTACACAGGTAGGGTGGGGCAAGACCATGGTAGCTTTAAATCTGACGAGGATCTTTAACTCGATCCTCTGGAGGATAGGGAGCCAGTGGAGCCAGGCGAGGGTAGGATTGATAGGCTCGCGGAGCCTGATGCAGGAGAAGACACGAGCTGTAGAGTTAATAGTCTGTAGCTTGTGGAGGAAGAGTTGGGAAGTCCTGGAGCAGAGTTGGCATAGTAAAGCTTGGGTAACAGTCTTGGTGGCCTGAGGGGAGAGGTAGTGTGGTTGTGGGGGAAAGCTGAACAGATCAAGGCATGGATGTGAGGTTTAAAGAACAGCTGAGAGTAAAACAAGACACTGAAGTTCTGCATTGGCTCCGAGAGGTGAGGAGTGCATCCAACAACAAGTTGTTGGATGCGTCTCAGAGCGCTTTACAGTAACATGTATAATGATGCTGCCAGAGCCTGAGGTGAGAAGGCACTAACAGGAGCCAAGCAGGAGAGCCTCTGTCTTGTCGGCAGATACAAAGTGGAGATGCTGGGATAGGTAAGAGTGAAACCAAGCAAGGACAAAACCATGAAGGTGGAGCTGAGAGGAAAGGTAGTGGAGAATAGAGTGGTCCAGAGTGAAAGGGTGCCCACCTCTCCCTGTATCCACAAACCGTCCTCCACTCCCTGTGCTCACATGCCACTCCTCCCCCCTTGTACCCACCTCCTACTAGCCCCCTCCCTATACCCACACACAGCCCCCACTTCCCTGTACTCTTGATAGTACACACTTTCCTACAACCAGACTTTACCTGGAGGGCGTGTCAAAGTGCCAAATGCATCACTGCAACCATTACAATCTGCTGCATGCACCTCGATCCTTTCCACAGGAAACATATCCCCACACAGTGGGCATGTGACGGAGGGCTCCAGATTCTGGCCACCAGCATCATCTTCCACCAACACCACCTCTGCAGCCTGGAGAGAGAACGCAATGTTAGCTATCAAATGGCAATGTCCCTTACAGCAAAATGCAGAGGAAGAAAAATATGACCCTGGGTCCACCAGCGACCAGCCCAGTGCACTGCCCTGCAACAGGGGTCACACCCTATGCAGATACACTGAACCTGTATCCACAAACAACATTACAACACTGAGAAGGGAAGGAACTGTGTAGAGTCTGAGAGTCACTATTACTGCATCAAATAGGAAACTACACGTAAAAAAAAAATCCAAACCATAATTCACCTGGGTATTAGATTCAGGAATCTGTCTCACAAACTCTAGTTGTATATCAATATTCAAGTTCTCCTGAATATCTGAAGAACAAAAAGAACAAATTCAAATAAGCACCAAAAATTAATCACCAAGTGAATTTGTCGTCCACAGCGAGGCACAGGCATACTTGTTACATTGCTCGTTACTTGGTGGAAGGGAACGAAGTTCAGTCACAATATGTTACATAGGTTAGGGAGGGCCCATTCTGTCTGTGCCTTACATAGATGGGGAAGGTTACATAGCGGGAAGGGGAAAGTGTTCTGTAAGTTACACATGAGGGAGCACAGGGAGAGGCAGGATTGAAGCTTTGCTAATGAGCTGCTCAACGACACTCACCGGCACAAACGCACAGTTGCTCGTCCTCCTCTGACTGATAACTGCCACTTGGACCAGAATCAGCCACCTTACTGTCGACACACGTGGCCCCGTCACTGCCAAAATCAATAACACAACACCATGATTACACAGCACAACAAATATTTCAGCTCAGGAACAAAGAATGGCACATGCAGGAGAGACACTAGACAACAGCACTGCTCTATCCTGGGCATAGCAGGGGTCAAAGGGGCGGGGGTGAGGGAGCCAAGGCAAAAGCACAAGAGGACTGGATGAGGTAGGAGAGCAGTGAGGGCGGACATAGGACACAGGTGTAAGAGCGATAGTGAAGTGTTTCATAGGAATATGAAGTGTGTGGAACAGATTAGTGTAATGGAAATGAAGAAGATGCAAATTGAAGTGTTACAGTGAAGTGAAGAGAACCATGGCAATTTAAAAAATGCATCACATTTGCAGTTGACACCTCAAGGGCACTTGCTCAATATAACGCGCCACAATGCAACAACAACAACAAATTACATTTGTATAGCGCTCCCGGGACGTTCCAGACAGTTAAGGATTTGGACCCAACTGGGGTTTGGGATCAGAAGGTTGAGGGCAGGATGGGATAATGACTGAAGGCGCGATTGAACAGGAGGGTGTTGAGACGTACCTTCGAGGAGGAAAGGGAAGGAGTGAGGTAAAGTGAGTGAAATAGAGCTCCAAAGGGTGGGGACAGAGAGGCTGAAGCCGTTTGTGGGGCGGGGTGGGCCCGGTGGGAGACGTGCAGCAGTCAGATCTATATGGAGTTAGCAAGTGACGAGGTAGGGATGAGCAAAACTGTGAAGGGCTTTGAAGGTGAAGATGAGGATTTTGAATTTAATCCTCTGGGGAATGGGGAGCCAGTGGAGACAGGCAAGGATATGGGTGATAGGGTGACGGAGTCTGGTGCGGGAGAGGACACGAGCTATAGAGTTCTGAATGATCTGCAGCCTGTGGAGGAAAAGAGTTGGAAAGGCCGACAAGCAGGGAGTTAGTGCAGGGAGTTAACTCCATGCATAAGAAGTGACTGACCATTGTTTGTTTTCCTCTTTGTCTGTCATTTCTTGAATTAATAGCTGTGGTGAAGACTGAAAGAGACAAGGTGTTACTCTCATGGTATTCAACACATCTTGTGACACCCCAAATGCTCATAACAACCACCCCCATGCTGATCCACACACCATGAATAGAATACAGTAGTAATTCTTTTATCTGATATAGCGCCTTTCACTGTGTATGGATGTTTCACAGGACTTGTGTAAAGTGCAGTAACTGGTATTTTGTCAGTGAAAGAGGCAGTCAATTTGCACACAGAGTCGAATTCAAGATCCTCATCCTCACCTACAAGGCCATTCACGGCCTTGCTCCCTCCTACCTCTCCGACCTACTATCCCCTTATTTACCTGCCCGTACCTTCCGTTCCTCTGGCTCCGGTCTGCTCCACATCCCCCACCCCAACCGCCCTACCATCGGTGGCCGGGCCTTCAGCCTCTCAGTCCCGAGGCTCTGGAACTCTATCCCCCAGTGCCTTCGCCTTGCTTCCTCCCTTTCCTCCTTCAAGGCCGGTCTCAAGACCTTTCTCTTTGACTGTGCCTTCAGCTCCCCTCTCGACTCTCTACCCCCTCCTCGCTCCCTCCCTTCCCTCCCCTCACCCTGACCATTTCCCCCCAATGCTCGGGTCCTGACCCAACTGTCCAGCGCCTTGGGACGTCCTCCCGACGTGAAAGGCGCTTTATAAATGAAATCTTGTTGTTGTTGTTGTCACACATAACAGCCATGAAAAGAAAGAGTAATGTTGACCAGGACACAGGGAGAAATTTCCAACTGCATACTCGACACATCGCCAAACATGATCACACAGATTCGACAAAGCCACCAGCCCCACCTCTGCTCAATTCCTCACCAACCCACATACTCCACCCCCGTGTACTCAATACCCCACACATGCCACCCCTGCACGCCACCCGGGTACGCCACACACGCCACCCAGGCACGCCACACCCCACATACCCCATGTGTACTTCACACCCCACTCAAGACTCATGTACTCCACACCTCACACACACAACACTCACGCCCATATATGCTCGTACTTGACAGTACTCCACCCTCCCATACACCAAACATAGTCGATGCACCAGCTTACTTAACACCTCGCATACATGATGTCCACATACTTGCTACTCTGGCCTCTCCTCTCGTGCCAGTCAAAACTCAATACAACTGGATATAAAGATAAACATTTTAAAGTCTCCCTTTCCCTATTAGGCTATACCTCATGCAGCACCTGTTCTTCTCCTGGGTCTTCTCCTGCATGTGTCCCAGGTGGCTGCTCGCTTAGCCCTTCTGCCGACTTTGCATTCTCCTCCTCAGATTCCCCACTGCCAGTCTCATTGTCGAGTTGCTCATTTCTCCAGCTGCGGTGAGCTTTCCTGGCCATGGGTGCTGGCAGCACTGGCTCCCCAAACCTCATCTTGCGAAGAAGCTGCCTCTGAGCCACCTTTAGGCAGCAGCGGTATGTCTGCAGCTGGCATAGGATGACCTCTGTGTACTGATCCGGATCCACTCCTTTCGGACAGAATGGAACTCCCCAGAAATACCGGACCAGCCCATTCTGAGGTGATGAGTGCTTCGTGGCCGAGGCTGACAACATTACCACTGGGCGCTCATCAAAACCTTGCCCTTCCTCAGTCTTTGTAAAGGTGGCTCTCTTGGTGCTGCTATCAGAGGCAGGATGAGCATCAAGATTACAGGTCATTTCTTCCTCAGGTTTGGGATTTTCTCCCTCAGGCTCACAGTGTGTGGTGAGTATGTGCTGACTCTGTGCCTGGCTAGATTCAGGTGCTTGCATCCATGACAGAGAGGAGGATGGGAGCACCTTATCCAACAAAACACTTTGTAACGGAGTCCGGTGTTTAAAAGGACTGATAGGCTTCAGTGGGGATGTCCGTGTGCCAATAGCAAAATTCTGATCCTGAGACAGGACAATGCTAGACTCCTGGGAACATTTCGCAATCGTCTCACTCAGCTTCTCTAATACAACCAGAGGACTGCAGGCCATCGTCACCCGCTCTGAAATAAGCTGCCCATTGGGAAGTGCATCCTGCTCGTTGCAGGCACCTGGGATCTCCTTTCTTTCTGCAATCCCAGCACAGTCACCAGAGGCTTCCTTTCCTCCTGTGGTTCCAAGCTCTGTGTCTACATCCACATTGCAAAGCGCGATAGGCACTGAACCTTTGTCACCAGTTTCGTTTGACGGCGCCTGAAACTGAAACAAAACAAATTGTTCACTCCAGTAAGCCCACTACAGCCTCACCCTCCAGCAATCCCCACCCTCCAGCCATCCCCCTCCCACACACACTGTTTTACACCCGGGCAGTCCGTCCATAGCTCAACACTCACATGCAGACTCTCCGCAATTGCTTTCTTCATCAGGTGCTCCTCTTCCTCTCGCTGCAGGTTCCTCTCATCAGCTTCCCTCTCACTCATCAAGAAGGCCAGAGCCAATTGCTCCTCCTCAGTCATCTCTGCCATCAGAAGCAAAGCATTAATGCTGCACATTGCAACACACTTTGTAACTCCAGCAGATTCCTGCAACCACACTTGTACCTGCTCTATTAGCCTTGCTCAATTGGTAGTACTCGCTGGTCAGAAAATTATGAGTTGAACCACATGTTGATACTTTGGGAATTCACAGAATAAGCTGACACTCCAGTGCGGTGTTGGATAAAGTGCTGTGGTGTTGGAGGTGCCGTCCCTCAGATGAGGCATTAAACTAAGATCCCGTCTGCCTTTTCGGTGATGTTAAAAAATCATGGTATTATTCAAAGAGAAAGGAATTTGCTATGGTGTCACCCGCACCCCACCCACGCACACCACAGCCCCCACACCCCAGACACACCCCCGCCTGGCACATACCCCCCATACACACACATCACAGCCCCCCATTACACACGCGCGCTCCACAGCCCAATCACACGCGCGCGCCTGCCACAGCCTCCCCCCCATTACAGCCTCCCCATCACACACAAGCGCGCCACAGCCCCCCATCACACGCGTGTGCACTCCATTGCTCCCCCCATCACACACCCGCGCACCATAGCCCCATCACATGCACGGCCACAGCCCCCCTCCCACACACACCACAGGCCGCCCACACACACCACAGCCCCCCACACACACCACAGCCCCCCCACACACACCACAGCCCCCCACACACACCACAGCCCCCCCACACACACCACAGCCCCCCACACACACCACAGGCCCCCACACACACCACAGGCCCCCCCCCACACACCACAGCCCCTCCCCCACACACCACAGCCCCTCCCCCACACACCACAGTCCCCCGCCAAACACACACACCACAGCCCCCGCCACCACACACACAGCTCCCCGCCACACACACAGCTCCCCACCCCCACACACCACAGCACCCCCCCACACACACACACCACAGCCCCCGCCACCACACACACAGCTCCCCGCCACACACACAGCTCCCCACCCCCACACACCACAGCATCCCCCCCACACACACACACACCACAGCCCCCGCCCCCACACAGCCCCCGCCCCCATACACACCACCCCCACAGACACACCACAGCCCCCCCCCCACACACATCCCACAGTCAATTGTACCATAAACTGCCGTGGATTGAGTGACCAAATTATTATGCACAATCTCGGCATCCAGTTTGATCCCCAGCTATGATTCCTACCCCATATTCAGCCCCTGACCAAGACTGCTTTGCCACATTTCTTGTCTCTGATCCTACCTGACCCTTAAATTGTGCACATCCATCAAACCAATCCTCACCAGGCTCCAATGGCTCCTCATCTCTGAAAGTATATCATGATCACACACCCTCACATCCAATCACCTCTCTACCTCTCTGACCTACTTGTACCACTCCACACCTCAGTCTGCTCATCACCTTTACTTAACTGCCACAGGCCTGGTACGCACCATCAACCGCTCCACACATCATTGGTGGCTATGCCTTCGTCCACTACAACAACAATTTGCACTCATATAGTGACTTCCACGCAAGGCAACATCTCAAGAGCGCTTATGGCGGAGCCTGACTCCGAGCCGGGGAGGTGGCCGCAAGCACGGTCGAAGAGGAAAGTTTTCAGGCAGGACTTGAAAAAGGGGAGGGGGCAAGGCGGAGCGATTGAGGGAGTGTTCTAGTTTCAAGGCGTAATGGCTGAAAGGGCAACCTCCGATGGTGGGGCGATAGGGACGAGCAGGAGCCAGTGTCAGTTGAGCGGAGGCACCGGATGGTGGATTGGGGAGTGAGGAGGTCGAAGAGATAGGGAAGTGCCAACGAATGAAGGGATTTGAACACGAGTGTGAAGATCTTGAAGTTGATCCGTTCAGTGATGGGAAGCCAGTGGAGCCTGGCCAGAACTGGTGAGATGTGGGTATGGAGTTTGGTCCAGGTCAGTGTGCGGGCAGCAGAGTTTTGAATAAGCTAGATTTTTTGAATAGTGGAGCTGGGGAGATCAGCAAGGAGTGAGTTTGAGTTATCAAGGTGGGAGGTGACAAACGTATACACGAGGGTTTGGGCTGCATTTGGGGTAAGGTACGGTTGGAGTGGGGCAACGTGGTGGAGGTGGATGGAGGCTACATCCCTAGGCTCAGGAACTCCCTCCCTCAATCCCTCCCTCAATCCCTCCGCCTGGCCCTCTATCTATCTTTAAATCTTACCTTAAGACTTACCTGTCTGACCTCGCCTATGGCCACCTTCCCCATCTCCGTTGCTCAGTGTCCATTCCACCACTTTTCAGCGCTCCGAGACCCTATCCTGTATGAAAGGCGCTATATAAATGCAATTTGCTGTTGTCTCATACCCAGTAGTATCTGAGTGAATCTGTGCTTCACCCTCTCCATCTCTACAACATCCTTCCCATTAAAGGGAGCCCAAAACTGAGCACAATCATTTCATACGCTATACAATTCCAACATAATTTTTCTTTTATATTTTATAAAATTCCATAATCCCATTTGTCTTATTTAAAATGTTTATGTACCTATTGTCGCACTTTTAGTGATATTTGGATTTCTATCCTCAAATCCTTCAGCTCCTCCAGTCCATTTAGTGTTTTCGCTTTCAGACAATACTTCTACTCCCTATTCTTTTCCCGAAATGCAGTATCTCACTTATCTTGCACTTAGGAGGTAGGTATGCCGTAGAAATCATTATCACAACCATAGAATGAGACTGGATCAAAAGAACCATTCAAAAGGACCTGGATCCGAACTTGGAACAGTAAAAATATTAAGGGAATTGGGAAACTGTTGGAAATTAAGATTAAGAAAAAAGTTTTTTAAAAAAAACAAGAGGAAGCAGTGCACAGAATGGCCTCAGTGCTGTCAATGTTTGTTTCTACACCAGTACTTACGAGAAATATTACACTTGGAGACACTCTTCTCTCTGCCCCCAGCCCGACTATCTTTCCTCAAAGAAATTAACTCTTCCAAGGCCGGAACCTACAACAGTGAGAATAAATCTCGGTCATTATCACCATGGTAACCCCTGCGTAACCCAGTCCCCGATCCCCTCCCCAGGATAGTTCAAGAACAATTTACACTTATACATTGGAAGAATATCTCAAAGCACTCAACAGGAACCCAAGCTGGGAGGGAGGTAGGGGTGGCTGGATGGGTGTTAGGTTGGCTCATTTGGCCAAATAATAATAATAATAATAATCCTTGCATTTGATATAGCGCTTTTCACGTCGGGAGGACGTCCCAAAGCGCTTCACAGAACACACTGTACAGTGAATTGACTGTGTTTGTGGGCGAACGCGGCAGCCAATTGCGCACAGCAATGTCCCACAAACAGTCGTAGATTGAAAATGACCAATTTATTATTGTTTTGGGTTTTGGAGGGATTATTATTAGGCTCTGTGTGGAGTAAGGAAACTTGCCCAAGGTTTCGCCCTCTGCCTGGAATTGAACTCAGGTCTCTCACTTGCAAAGCGAGTGCTCTAACCACTGAGCTACAGGACTCCACAAATGCAGAGAGGTAGGTTTTGATTTGAAAGCAAGAGTGGAAAGGGGCAGGTTGGTGGGATTTCAGGAGAGTTTCAGAGGAGGGGGGCAAAATGGCTGAATTACACCCCATCGACCGTGGTCACAGTGGGAGAAGGGCGTCAAGCAACAACTTGGGATTTAGGTGGCACCCTTCATGTCGGGTAATATCTCGTGGCGCTACACAGGGACTCGGTACCAAGCAAAGGAGAGGCTAACGGCAACAACAACATTATGTTTGCATGGGGCAGACGAGTTCGAAGACACGGGGTTTGAGGGGACGGGCGGTCGTAAAGGGAGGGAATTCCGGCGGTTTAGGGGGCATCGGAAGCGAAGGTGCAGTGGCCAACGGTCCCATCCGAAGGCGGTCCCCTTCGACGGTGCCTCCGGCGACCCTCGCGTACCCTTCCTGAGCTCAGCTCCCAGCTTCGAGCCCGCAAACCCCCCGCCCCACCCCACCCCGCCCTACCCCGCCCCGCCCGACGGTCCAGCTCTCCGGAGGGGAACGTCTCGCTGAACCCCGTAAAGGGCGCTCGCTGGACAAGGGGGAGGTGTGGCTGTACTGCTGCAGGGTTTGGAGGTGAGAATGGAGGGTCGGGTCATGTCATGTCCTGTGTGGGCGGAGGAGGAGGAGGAGGAGGAGGTGGTGGTGGTGGTTGTTGTTGTTGTTGTTGAAGAGAGAGAGAGAGAGAGACACAGACCTGGTGATTCTCAGTCCTATCTCTCAGCCCCACACCCCCCGCCCTCACCTCTTCGTCACTGTCACAGATGACGACCGAGGTCCGCACCTCAGTTCGCCGGACTTTAGTTTGGCCGCCGCCCTCCATCCCGGGAGACGGGGCCGCGGCCCTCGCCTTCAGCTTCCCTTTCCGAGGCATCGAACGGCGAAGGAAAGAGCTGCCGGAAGCCGCCCCTCAGCTTTCCCTCGGTTCAACCCGTGCCCCGGGCCCCCAAGCCCCGCCCCCTTCCTCCTCCTGTTCCCCCCCTCCCCACCCATCTCTCCCCCCCTTCCCCCCCTCCCACCCATCTCTCCCCCTCCCTCCCCTCCCCCCCATCTCCCCCCCTCCCCCCCATCTCTCCCCCCCCACCCATCTCTCCCCCCTCCCCCCATCTCTCCCCCCCTCCCCCCATCTCTCCCCTCCCCCTCCCCCCTCCCACCCTCTCTCCCCCCTCCCCCCATCTCTCCCCCTCCCTCCCCTCATCTCTCCCCCTACTCTTCTCCCCTCCCCCCCATCTCTCCCCGCGCCCTTCCCTCCTCCCATCTCTCCCTCCCCCCATCTCTCCCCCCTCCCACCCCTCCCTCATCTCTCCCCTCCCCTACTCTTCTCCCCTCCCCCATCTCTCCCCTCATCCCTCCCCCTACTCTTCTCCCCTCCCCCCATCTCCCCTCCCTCCCCTCCCCCCCATCTCTCCCCCTCCCTCCCCCCATCTCTCCCCCTCCCACCCCCCATCTCTCCGCCCGCCCTCCCTCCCGCCCTCCCTCCCTCTTCAGGCATTTTGGCAAACAAGTAAATCTTCAGGGAGATTTGCATACAAGGCCCCTCTTTTGGGTTGGAGAGAACTCGGGAGTGTAGAACAACAACAATAAGTTACATTTCCATCGCGCCTTTCACATCGGGAGGGGGTCCCAAGGTGTGGGACATTCAGGGGTTTGGACCCGAGTTGGGATTAAGAGGTGGAGGGCAGGGTAGGGGTAGGAGGGTGGCCGAAGGCGCAATCAAAAAGGAGGGTCTCGCCACGTGCTTTGAAGGAGGCAAGGGAGGGAGCAAGGCGAAGGGCCTGTAGGATGGAGTTCCAAAGGGTAGGAGTCGAGAGGCTGAAGGCCTGGCCACCAATGGTGGGGCAGGGCGGACCGGGCGGGGGATGTAGAGCAGGCCGGAGCCTGTTGAGTGGAGGGAATGGACGGGTTGATTTGGGGTTAGCAGGTCACAGAGGTAGGAAAGAGCAAGGCCGTGGAGGGCCTTGAAGGCAAGGACAAGGATTTTGCTTCACTTCACCCACCGGGCCTGTCCCATCATCGTCGCCCACCATCTCTGCCCCCACCCTTTGGAACTTCATCCCATATTCCATTCACCTTGCTCCCTCCCTTGCCGCCTTCAAAGCACGTCTCAAGACCTTGCTCTTCGACCGCACCTTCGGCCACCCTCCTACCTTCCCTGGCCTCCACCCTCCCTGATCCCAACCCCGCTGCTCAGGTCCAAATCCCTCACTTGGGGCATCCTCCTGACGTGAAAGACGCTAAACACATGTACATTGCATTGTTACAATAACCCTCAGTTATTAGGTTATAGTATTACAAAGAAACATATTACCCGTTCCACAGGATAGAGCGAAGGATGGCGTCTTGGACCCTCTTGGTCATTTTCTTTCCCTTAAACTGTCTTCTCATTGCTACATTCTCAAGTGAAATCCCACACTTGATAGACTCTTATAACACATCTACTACCTTATATGACTATGTTTTGTTTATTCTCCCCAACTATTGTGGCATTCCACTATGCATGCACGCACGTACATTCTTGCACGTAGAGCCCTGTTATCAGTTTTCCTTGTCTCATCCTGTTCAGACTCAGGATCTCTCCTGACTCCTATCCTTGTGGCTGTGCTATTGTTTTCCTAAATTGATTTAATTTATGCAACCATCAAGCAACTTAAACAATACACATCAATCCAATCTTGTGTATCTACTCCTCCTTTATCTTACAGAGGATTATTATTATTATAGCTTAGTGTTATTCCGGTGCTGGGGTATGCTGCATTGTCAGAGGTGCTACCCTTCAGATGAGACATAAAACCTAGGCCTCGGATGGCTTTTCAGGTCACTCCCTGCGTTAGGCACATGCAACCCATGCAAATCTATTGGGGCCTCCTGCCATCGTGACTCAGTTACTTGATCGTTCACACTCAGTATCAAATGCAAGGGTTGTTATTATAAAGGCATTGGGAAGATCCTCAAACCACGGTGTGAAATTGGATTTATGAGTAGAATTTGGGGCCAATCTGAAATCAGGATTAAAATTTAGTTGTGTTTTTATTGTAAAAGGAGGAGCTCTGCCTGTTCCAGGACAGGCTCCACTCCATTCCAAAAAACGATTGAAATCGCCTCCCTGCCAGCCAGTAGCCTTGCCGTCAGGACGGGACACCTGCGCACTAAATTTGGGCGCTGGGGACTCACTGACGGCTTACCGGCAACTGAGGAGAAACAGCTCGGCTTTCCTCGGAGCTTGGGAGGCCTCAAACTACCCACAGGATTAGCAAGTCGACAACTGTCAGTGGCTGACAGGGGTACACGTGTAGGAGCCCCCAGCCCCATCCCCACTCGCTGGCAACCCTGGGAGGGGCTCCAGAATCGAGTATGAGCATGGGGTTAGGGGCAAACAGCGCCCCTGTTTCAGGCAGACATCAAAGATCCCGTCACACAATTTGAATAAGGAGTTTCTCTCTCTCTCCTCCACCCGCTGCTCTCAACCCTCCCCAATTCCCCCCGCCCCACCCTGGGTTTGAAACACTGGCTGTCCAGCGGCTTGGGGTGCCCTCTCCGACGCGAAAGTGGTTTTCAGCGGTCAAGAGCACTGGCCCCGCAAGCGGGAGGCCCGGGTTCGATTCCCGGCAGAGCGAGACGTTGGGCAGGCTTCGTTGCTCCGCACGCGCCCCTGCTTACCCAGCGGTAAGTGGGAACCCGGGCTGTCAGCCGGTTGGCGGATCGCTTTTCCGGGGGTAGTAATGCCTTCAGAAAAAGTAGAATAGTAAATCGGTCACTCCGACCCGCGACTGCTTGAGGGGCACTGCTGTGCGCAATTGATTGGCTGCCGTGTTAGGCACAGTATATTCTGCGAAGCACTCCGAGACGGCTCGAAGACGTGATAAGGCGCTCCATCAAATGCAAGGATTATTATTATTATTATTACCAAATGGGAGGAGGAGGAGGCGGAGGATGACGACGATCACCAATCAGCTCGGTTTCGCGCTGACTGACTTGACTGCGCAGTCTGAGACCGGCGCGGCCTCGCTTCTGTCACGTGTTCGGGGGGCGCTGCGCGGTGACGCCATAGGGCGCTGCGCGGTGACGGCACAGGGCGCTGCGTGGTGACGCGCTTCCGGTCCTGGGCAGTTGCTGTGGCTGAGCGGAGCCGGGGGAGCCTGGCACTGGGAGCGGGAGAGGAGACAAAACAAAGCAGCGGCAGAAGTGAACGCATTCACAGGTAAGGCGTGTGTGTGTCACAAAAAAAATGTTCGGTTAATCCCACTGGTTTTCCATCTGCCATCGGATGTACCTCGGGGTGGTGGGGGTGGTCGCCATCGTGCGAAGGGCGCCACCAGGAGCCCGCGGCCTGGTGGTGGTGGTGCTGCTGCTGCCGCCGCTGCTGCTGCTGCTGGTGGTGGTGTTGTTGTTGCCGCCACCACATCCGGGTACCGGCAGCCGCACCGCAGCATCACGGGAAATGTAGTCCGCGCGCGCGGCGTACAGGCGGTGATGGTGATGGAGCAGCACAATGTCCTCCCTTTCCAAACAGTAATAAGCATAAGAATTAAGAGTCCTTCCGCTTGACACAGCGCCTAACCTCGTCTGCGGAATATCCTGCGAAGCGAATTAACTGTGTGTTTTCTGTGGGCGAAACGCAGCAGCCAATTGCGGCCACAGCAGTGGCCCACAGTCGGTCGTGGATATGTGTAATAATAATAATAATAATAATAATCCTTGCATACAACAACAACAACAACAAGATTCCATTTATAGAGCGCCTTTCACGTCAGGAGGACGTCCCAAGGCGCTGCACAGTTGGGTCATGACCCGAGCATTGGGGGGGAAATGGTCAGGGTGAGAGGAGGGAAGGGAGGGAGCGAGGAGGGGGGAAATGGTCAGGGTGAGGGGAGGGAAGGGAGGGAGCGAGGAGCGGGGAAGAGAGTCGAGAGCATAATCCGGCTGCTGGTGCCCGGACGTCTTCTGGACGTCTCAAACGCGCTTCGCAGAACGTGCTGTAAAGTGAATTGACTGTATATCTGTGGGCGAAGTAGATGCGTAGATTTGTATAAATGTATAGTGTTTTTTTTTTTGGAGGCGTTTTTACCCACGGAAAAATGATCCGCCAATCGACTAATAAACCGGGTTTCTACTTACTGTTAGGTAAACAGACGTGTGGGTAAAGAAACTTGCCCAAGGTTTCGCCAGCATTTCAGTTTAACCATATGTAGAAGGGATGTTACATTATCTCATCCTTTCCAGCCTCATCATTTTTCGTGCGGGAACACTTATTCTACTCGAGGCTTCTCACATGTAGTAACAACCACAGGTTTCACTCTTGTCGTTATTCGGAGGTACTGATGCCGCAAGTCAGATTGACCTCCAGCCTTTCTCAGGCCTGCATGCAGCATTTCACAGGGGTCCCTACCAGGTACACGTTCACAAAATCAGTCTGGATAAAAATGTGCCTTTGACCCATCCAATATCACCCTTACAGAACACCCACTCTATCAACCGCCCATTACAGCATCAAACTGCTTTTTAAATGAGTTCAGTGTCCTGGCCTCAACCAGCTTTCCTGGCAACCTGATCCAGTTGTTCCAGTCCTCTGTGTCAAGAGAAACATCTTGGTATCCATCCTGAAATTGCCCTTTGCAATGCTAAACCTATGTTCTCTTGTTCTACTGTCTTGTTTTGGATCCTAAAATATTGATCTGGGTTTACTTTTTCATTCCCATTTAAAATTGTATACACTTTTATGAGATCCCTGCCTGTGTTGTCTTCTCTAAAGAATGAAGAGCCCGAGCTTGTCTAACTGATGCTCGTAGCTCATTTCCTCTAACACTGGGGATCATCCTTATTGCTCTCCTTCACATTGCCTCTAGGGCCTGGGCAACCCCTTATTTTGGATGACTGGGATTCAAGGTGCATTTTGATCAGAGCGCAGCCTGAGTATGACTTCTCAGGATCTAAACTCAACTGATTTAGCAATGTAGCCCAGCATCCTATTTGCTTTGTTTATCATTGCCTCACACTGTTTTGACATAGTGAGCGACCAGTTAACAAACATCCCTGGACCTCTTTCAGTCCAATCCCATCCATGGAGTACTTGTATTTCTTATTCTTGGATCCTATATGTAGTACCTCGCATTTATCTGTATTAAGCATTGTTTGCCAGTTATCAGCTGTGTACATACCTTATGAAGTTACCTTTGGAGGACCCTTGCCACATCCTCTTGAATCCACATTTCCCATCATTTTGGTGTCATCTACAAATTTAACTTACACTGGATATGCAAATATAGATCATTAATATATACAAGGAACAGAAGAAGCCTCAGTACAGACCTCCAAAGAACCCTGGCAAATACCTTTCCTCATTTTGACCTAGCTCCCCTAATAAAGACTCTCTGCCTCTTTTCTTAGCCATGCTTCATCCCTTTGAACCCATGCCCATGTCTTGACCATGGTACTCAGTGACCACAATTTTGAAGGAGTCTTTTGTGTTGTACTTTCCAAAAGCCTTTTGGAAGTCTAAATATACTGCATCATATGGCTTCCCACAGTCAATTTGGGTTGTCACCTCTTCAAAAAAGTCTATGAGATTGGTCAGAAGAGATCTACTGTTTCTGAACCCTTATTGCCTGTCATTTATTAGATTATTTTTATACATGTAGTCTTCCACTTTCTGATGATCAATTCCATATGTTTTGCTATTATTGAAATAAGGCAATGTGTGTATAGTTGCCAGGTTTAGTTTTGTCGCATTTCTTAATTATGAGAACAACTACTTGCTTCCATTGAAACCTCCCCAGTCCTGATTGATACCCACAGAAGGAGTCCATTTGGCCCATCATGCTTGTGCTGGCTCTGTGAAAGAGCTATCAACAAGTACCACCATCCTTTCAGGCAGTCAAGACAGTAACAACTCTCTGAGTAAAAATATATCTCCTCGTCTCCCCTCTGGTTCTTTTGCCAATTATTTTAAATCTGTGGCTTCTGGTTACCGACCCATCCACCCAGAGGAAACAGTTTCTCCCTATCTACTCACCCTCACCCTCACCAACAAGAACATTCACGGCCTTGCTCCCTCCTACCTCTCTGACCTACTATACCCCTACCTACCTATCCTTACCCTCCGTTCCTCTGGCTCCGGTCTGCTCCACATCCCCCGCCCCAACCGCCCTACCATTGGTGGCCGGGCCTTCAGCCTCTCAGCCCCCAGGCCTTGCAATTCTATCCCCCAGTGCCTTCGCCGCTTCCTCCCTTTCGTCCTTCAAGGCCGGTCTCAAGACCTTTCTCTTTGACCGTGCCTTCAGCTCCCCTCTCGACTCTCTACCCCCTCCTCGCTCCCTCCCTTCCCTCACCCTGACCATTTCCCCCCTGCTCGGGTCTGACCCAACTGTACAGCGCCTTGGGACGTCCTCCCGACGTGAAAGGCGCTCAATAAATGGAATCTTGTTGTTGCTGTTGTACTCTATCAAAACCCCTCATAATTTTGAACACTTCTGTCAAATTTCCTTTCAACCTTCTCTACTCTAAGGAGAATAATCCCAGCCTCTCTTAGTCTTTCCACATAATTGTAGTCCCTCATCCCTGATATCATTCATCTCCTCCACACTCTCTCCAAGGCTCTGACATCCTTCTTAAAGTGTGGTGCACAGAATTGTACGCAATACTCCAGCTGAGACCTCATAAGCGATTTGTAAAGATTCAACATAACTTCCTTGCTTTTATAATCTAAGCCTCTATTTATAAAGTCACTGTTCCGGCACAAATCAAGAGTGTGTGCCGTAGCTCTCTGGTCTGCACCATTGTTTTTCTTCACATTTTTTGCTCACCTGAGTATTTGATATATGGGAACTCCTGATCTCAAATTTGTGCCTTCTTGATGCTGACTCAACCGATGGAAGCAATCTGGATTGTCAGCCAAGCCTATAACCTGAATATAATAATTAATAATCCTTGCATGTGATATAGCACCTTTCACGTTAGGAAGATGTCTCAAAGCTACGCTAAGATGTCGTGACTATAATTTGTAGGTGATCATGGGATCTAATCTGCACACAGCAATGTCTCACAAACAGCCATGAAGTGAATGACAATTTTTTAATTTAACGGATTGTTGGCTGAGTACTCCCTTCTCTTTTTGAATAGTGCCATGGGGTCTTTGATGTTCATCTGAACAGGCAGACATGACCTTGGTGTAACGTCTCATCCAAAGGACGGCACCTCCCAAGAATGCAGCACACCCCTAGCACTGCATTGGATTGTCAGCCAATATCTATATGAGTTCACCTATTTCAGTTCCAAATGAAGCTTGAACCCAAAACCTTCTGACTTAAAGGCATATGACCATTTGACCACCTGGCATCCATGCTAAGAATTATGTCCTATTTAGTATTTCAAAAGTATGAGAAATAATAGCCAGTATTGGAGCTGGTTGTGGGAAATGGGTCAAGTAAATAGGTTAGAGAGCACTTGAGTGTAGTGCTGGGAATGTGCTGCATTCGTGGAGGGATCACAACATTAAAAAAATGAAGGTCATCGAATGTTAAAGGTTAAATTTTATAGGGATGAGGGGAATTTATGCTGGATGCCAGTTTTTTCTTGGTTGAATATATGACATAAATCAAGAAATATTCAATAAAGAAAATGTATTTTATTGGCTGACCAAAAAGTTTGGCCACTACTGAGCTAATGGATCCTTTCTGATTTTGTGACTCGATACACTGGATTTTATTTTTATACTATCCCCATATCCTAGGTAACCAAAGTTTATTATGGAAGAGGGCTGCAGAGTTCTGGTTGAGGTAGGGAGGCTGGCAAGGAGAGTCAAGTTGGAGGTGATAAAAAACGTAATGAACACTTCAACTGCATTGGGAGTTAAGTAGGCACAGAGGCAGACAATGTTCCAGATATATTTGCCTTGGAGGGTGTCCAGCACTGCCCCAGTAGAATTTTTAAAAAATTCTTAAACAAACCATAATACTAAGAAAATAACTATCTTCCCATTCTTGCACTGTTACATGCAGTTGTTCCTTGGGGCTCTATCCTCTGTTCTTTCCTTTTTAATATCTACATGTACATCTACATTCATCAATGTCCTCTGCAGGCATGGGGTTAACTTCCACATGTTCTTTGAAGTAGTAATTATAGTGTAGATAATGCAATGCTGTGTATTTGGATTTACAGAAGGGGGTTGATAAGGTGCTACACAGAACAACAACAACTTGCATTTGTAAAGCCCTTCATGTCGTGTAGGGTAGTGTCTTGGAGCTCTTGACAGTGGCAGAGCTTGACGTTGAGCTGGGGAGAGAGGGGAGGTGACCGTAGGCACAATCATAGAAGATCTTCAGATATGATCTGAAGACAGGCAGGGGAGCTAGGGTGTAAATTAATTTGTAAGGAAGGATCTTTAAATCGATATGTTCTGCAATAGGGAGCTGGAAAGGACTGTGTTGATGGGGGACTGGAGTTTGATACAGGAGAGAATATGAGCGGTGGAGTTTTGATTAGTTGGATTTTGTGCACTGTAGAGCTGGAAATACTGACAAGGAGGGCATTGAAAAAATCAAAGCGGAGGGTGACGATTGCATGAATGAAGGTTTCAGCTGCTTGGGTGTTAGGTATGGTTGAAGGTATGGTTGAAGGTGGGCGATGTGGCGGAGGTGGGGGAAGTAGTCCTGATCAAGAGATGGAGGAAAGTGTCCTTGGTCAGGAGGTGGATGTACCTAGGGAAGGAAGGACAGCTGGGGATCTGACCTGACACCAAGAGAAGACCTTGTTGTGAGCCAAGGAGGATGGCTTCCATCTCTTCAACATTTAGCTACAGAAAGTTAAGCTCATCCAGGCCTTGAAGTCTAACAAGCAAGAGGACAGAACATCCTTTTTTTTAGGTTTTGAGAGGGAGAAAGAATGGTACCTGAGGAGAGTGACAGGTTAACTGTGTCTGCCACTAGGGGACAGAAGTGGGGAAGTTGGGTGGTCAGCAGAGGAGTGGGGTTTGAGGCGGCCGATGGTGTGGGTCAAATGGGTGATGACAAAGAAGGGAGAAACGGTGGAAAAGGAACGTAGAATGAGGGCAGTGGGAGGAGCTGTGGGGGGGAAATGTGAGTGAGATAGAAGACAAGACATGGGGGGTAGTGCTCGGGGACAAGCGGAGCGGAAGAGTCTGCAGCCAAAAGATGTGTATGTCTTTGATATGATGTCCAGAACCACTTCACACTTGGGTTTGAGGTTAGGATCGACGATGCTTGAAGACTATGTGGAGGAGGTGTTTGTTGTCGAAAACAGCAGTTTGGCATTATACTTGGCCTCCAGAATGACCTGAGAATAGAATGTGGGTTTGGTGTGTGTGAGGGAGAGGCAGTACGTTTGAAGCGCTCGAGCCACATCTGCTGGTGAGCCGTGAGGTCAGTTTTGGGCCATCTGTGGTATTTGTGGTCGAGCGGGATGGCCTCCCAATGTGAAAGTCGATCTATAAATGTAATTTTGTTGTTGTTGTTGAGTGCCTGGGTGTCGGTCCAAGGTGAGCGAGTGGGTGGGATACTGTCCTAGATTTCAGGGGGAAAATGAATTGAAAATAGAAGCAAGATAATCATTTAAAAGCTTGATGGCTGCATCGGGATCACTGCAGGCAGAGGGCCAGAATGAAAGAAGATCCGAAAATGAGAGGACATTTGCAATGTGGTGGTGGGACCTTCTCCAGGGGCGAAAATAGATGGTGGAGGGCTTGATCGAGGAGAAAGGGATGTAAGAGGAGAGGGAGATGAGCAAGTGATCGATATGGTCTTGTCTGTGATGGAGAGTTCAGAGATGTTGAGATCACATGTGATGATGAGATCAGGGGGGTTGGTGAGTCAGGACCTAGAGGAAGTTAATTCAAGATAGATAGTAAACGAGCAAAGGGAGGGATTAGGAATGCACTCCTGGAAGCAGTGGTTGAGGCATAATCTGTATTGGCCTTCAAGAGGGAGATAAATACCCAGGCTGGAGCAGAGGCTGCAGAATGGTCCAGGAGAGAGAGGACACTTTGACTCCATATTGCTATTGTTGTTCATGGAAGCAAATGAGAGAAAGTGATAACACTGATTTTGCAGCAAATTGAGTGAGGGATACGTACTATTGAATAAGTTGGAAAATAAGCGAGATAGTGGAAAGGTAAAATAAGAGTGAGAGAATGAGGGAAGAGGTGGAGGTAGTGGACTGAAGGAGGGTGCAAGAGGATGGGCATATGTGGGAGAGGGGAAGACAAATGTGTGAGAATATGGGCAAAAAATAATGTTCAAAGAAAAATATATTAAAAAACACAAATAATAATTGGTCACTCAATCCATGACTGTTTATGGGACACTGCTGTGCGCAGTTGGCTGCCACGATTCGCCAACAAAATACACAGTCAATTCACTTTACAGTATATTCTGTGCAGTGCTTTGAGACGTCTTGAAGATGTGATAAGGCGCTATATAAATGCAAGGATTATTATTAAAATTATTAATTATTAAAAAGAATGAGTACGACTGTGAATCAGGTATGCAAGGTAAAAGAGAGAGGGAAAGAGTAACTCAATGAGAGGTAAGGAGAGAGAGCGCGGGGTGGGGGGGAACAAGTGCGACCCTATTACCCCATCCTCCCTGCTCAGTGTCTGGCACTGTCTCCGTAAAGTGCTCTGATATTTACTCACCTGCGGTTTACAAAACCTACGATACCAGCCTGTTCTCATTCTCCTTTTAACTTCACATACTAGAAAGTATATAATCTCAAATTTCTTTGACCTATTGATACTACTGTAATCAGCACAATGCTGTAGTTTTATAGTATTTATTTGTGTTCAAATGAAACAGGCAGCAAAAATGAAAGACCCAAGTCGAAGCAATAATACTCCCAGCATCAATAGTGACGAGGTGGTCCTGAATGGTCATTCACATGACGAGGAGAACCCTTTTGCAGAGTACATGTGGATGGAAAATGAGGAGGAATTCAACAGACAAGTAAGAGTTTGAAGCACTATTTGTAAAGGTGTGAGTTTGCTGTTAGCAGTATTATCAACTAAAAAAGTGTAAAATCCTCAGCTTTACAGGATAAAACTTCCAGGTGTGACTGCCATTTCATCTCACAGCAGTTTTTATTTGCATGTTCCTTTTTATCTCTCAACCGTGCAATTTGCACATACATCATTTTATTTCTACCCTTAATTGTATTTTTTAAAAAAAATTAAATGAGATGAAAAATTTTAACACCGATAGTCTTGAATGACATTTCTTTTCAGAAAATTCCTGCTGCAGCTTATAGACCATGAGCTTGCTCGTTGCATTGAGAGGCTAAATTAGTCGTAGCCTTCCCAGGATTAGGGAGGAGAAAACCAGCTAGGATTCCTGGTCTCTGTTCAGAACCAGTTACCAGCTGTGCGAATGTGTGGCAGCCGGGAAGGGAGAGATCAGGCTTGTTGGCTGTGATGCCCTCTATAGTTGAGTGATCTGACATTTACTGTTAAGGCTCACACATGAACAATGGCCACTTGGACAGGATACCAGAGGCTAATGGAATACCAAGACAGCAGGAGGCAAGGCCTACGAAACTGCAGCCAAGCAAGGGGAAGCCATTCGAAATTAGAAAAATGATGGATTATACTAAATTTATATAATGGAAAAAGTTAAGAGTATTGTTAATGACAGACCAGCCAGCGTGACTTATTGGCAGGACTTGGTGGTGCAGACCAGTCATAAGGAGCAGGGAGGGACCCAGCTCCTGTTAATAAGCTTCTCACTCAGCTCCTTTGTCAGGCTGACTCAGACTGAGTCAGAAGGTTGTGGGTTCAAACCCCATGTCGAGACTTGAAACTCATAGACTAAACTGACGCTTGAATTCAGTGCTGGAGGAGTGCTGAATTGTTAGAGCTGCCGTCCTTCAGATGAGATGTTAAACCGAAGCCCTGTCTGCCTGTTTGGTGGATGGTAAAGATCCCATAACACTTCTCAAAAAGAGAAGGTGGAGTCCCCTAACCTAGTGGTTAGCATACTCACCTCGCAAGGGAGAGGACCTGGGTTAGATTCCTGGGCCTTAGGCAAGTTTCCTTACTCCACACCCCTCTGTTATGTAGCAGTACGTAGGAACCCAGTTGTTAGTCGATTGGCAGATTGCTTTCATGGGATAATAATCCCTCAAAAAAAAATTGGTCATTCAATTCACAGCTGTTTGTGCTTCCACCATCCTTTCAGGCAGTGTATTCTAAATCATAACAACTCTCTGGGGAAAAAAATACCTCATCCTCTCCCCTCTGACTTTTTTTGCCAATTATCTTAATCAAGAGGAACAAGAGGACATAGGTTTAGAGTTGTAAAGGGCAATTTCACTACAGTTACCAGGACGTTTTTCTTTTGAGTCTAATTATCGACTGGAATAGGTTACCAGGAAGGGTGATTGAGGCCAGGATACTGGGCTCATTTTAAAAAGCAGCTGTGATACATTGGTAAGGTGGAAAACGGTAAGGTGGATCTTCTGGAAGGATCAGATTGTGTGAGCCAAAGGGCCTTCTTCACCCAGATCAATCTTGTGATATCACCTGTCATTTCAACTGACTCAAGCTTCAAGTGGAGGCTCTCAAGACACTTTCAGTTCATTTTATAGGCAAACCAGTGCATTTGTGGACTGATGCACTACCGTCTACAACCAGGGAAGCCTCATTGCCAAGTCTTCTAGCAGAATGTGATTCTGCTTTCCCATTGGTACTTGAATCACAAGGTGGCACTCTTAACACTTAGCTGCAATAGATTACAACTATCTCACCAGTAGATTATCCACCCAATTTCTTGCAAGATCTAAAGTTATCCGGTGTTAGATTTCTTTGCATCCTTGCAAAAGTACCAGTTACACCGTTTTTACTCAGACAACGTCAGATCAGATACTTCATCAAGACCCATCAGTTTTGAATGATGACCTGGCTATTGAAACGTGCGTGTAAGAACATTTGCTTTGTATACCACAACGAATGTCGGATTAAAAGAACATAAATTAATGGGAGTATATTTAGTACAGCCACCACCTTAGCGGGTGCTAAAGAATGAAAGATTCTCAGGCTTCGGGAGATCATTTGAATATCTAAGAGTTGATATTTTCTAGTGATTCCAAAAGGGGTTCTAAACTGTTTTCCATTATATTCCCGGTCCTATTTAATATGCTGTTTCTATGAAGAGACAGAACCAACCAGGCTTTTTATCAGAAAGTTCAGAAGTTTTCAAGCAAATTTCTGGATCTAACAGGGTTTAACCCTTGATTAAACACTTTGATAATAGAGTCTTCTAAGTTACTTTATTCTATGTAAAGTTAGCTTAAAGTGTTAGACATGTTGGTCACACAGGCTCAAACCTAATTCAAAGAGTAAAGATTTTCAGTTGGAGAGTTAAATTGTCCACATCAGAATTACAAAGGCTTGGAAACTGTATGACCTTATTATTAGAGCTTGTGGCCTGACTGGCATGGTGATGCCTCTTCCAGTGTCTTTCTTCGTATCTTGGGCCTTCCTATTTGTCACTGTTCTTCATGAGTTAACGGGTAACTCAAGTTTTGTTAACAGAATCTATAGTTTTGTTTTATTTAATAAAGTCTTCTTTCTCATAGCAGAATTTCTATAGAGGACATCAGTCTTTACTTTTCTCTTTAAATGTTAACCTTCGAATATGACCTGTCAACTTTTGAATACAAGAATCTGAACTTTGAAAGTGTCTTCCCTTCCCTTTGATTCCTCTTAGTATTCTGAACTCCGAATCTCTTAACGTGTACTTTGAATCTACTTTTCTGAGAAGAATTTCCTGGAATTTGCCACATTAGCTATTGGTTCTGATTAGAATCTCACGCTCACCCATCTCAGTTTATTTCTGCCCTTTACAGCCCTCCACTGGCTTCCCATCACACAGAGGATACAGTTCAAGATGCTGGTCCTCACGTTCAAAGCCCTCCGCGATCTTGCTCCCCCTACCTCTCTAACCCCCTACCCCCCTGTTCATTCCCTCCGTTCAGCCTGCTTCACGTCTCCCGCCTTGCTCACCCCACTATCGGCGGGCGAGCCTTCTGCCATTCCACCCTCTGGAACTCCATCCCGCAGTCCATCCGTTTCGCCCCCTCCCTCGCCACCTTCATGACCCACCTCAAGACCCTCCTCTTGAACCATGCTTTCAATCTCCCTGCTTCCCCCCTCCCCCACCCCAACCCTCAGTTTGGGTCCATAACTCTCTGCAGCACCTTCCCGACGCTATACAAATGTAATTTTTTTGTTGTTTTTGTTGAAATGGGCTGAGATAATTAAAAGCGAGATTCCAAATCAAATGCCACCTTCCTTTTAATGAATAACTGTACTTAAGGCTGTTTTTCTTCTCAATCATTCTCAACAATCTATGCTTGGGATGGGCACTCCGTAAACTTGGAATTTAGAGATATGATCACTAATGTTTATTCTCTCAGTATCTGGTTGCGAACTCTCCCTCAGTCTGCTGGCAGCAAAGGTCAATTTATCTCATGCGCTATGTTGTTCCAAAGGCAGTCATTGACCTGTCTGAGGGTCTTATATGGTTAATTTGTTTTAAGTCCAGCAGAACAAAGGCTCTTTGGTTCAGTGGCTCACAAGCCGTTGCCATTTGATACCGTGACCAAAATTAACCCTTTTATAAACTTGAATTGAGCTGTTCATAGTCACTAAATTAAGTGGCGTTTTCCCCAGAGCATCTAACCTGTTGCTCCTCATCGATAATTGATGTCATCAGGACAGCACATTGGAGTCGACCCTCCACCAATACTGCTTCTGAGATTAAATGGAAATTTCGGATTTACTAACTGGTGTTCCACAAATAAACAAGACTCTTGATTTTTCATATGATATATATAGCGTCTCAAGACTCTCCTCTTCGACCATGCTTTCGATCACCCTGCTTTCCTCCCTCTACCCTCCCCGATCCCGACCCCCACTCGGGTCCAGCGCCTTCGTACGTCCTCCCGAAGTGAAAGGCGCTATACAAATGTAATTTTGTTGTTGATATATGTACTTTTTTAAAATTATCTCCAGCACTACCTTTCCTTCAGACTGAAGCTTGCTTCAATATGCTATTGTCTTTGGGGTAAGCTGAGCTGGCTCCAAGATGACATGCTTGGCAATGGAATATCAAAATCAAACCACCATTCTTTGTGGCAGTCTTGGTAATCTGGTTCCTGAGCCAGGTGGATCTACCAGCGAAGCGCTGATCACTGACTTGGCTGGATTGGCAGGATCTGGAGTGGCAGATAATCATTATTTACTGGGGGCAGAGATTCTTCCTACTCATCTTAATTCTCATTAAGAACCTGTTCCTGTCTCTCTGCAGAATAAAGAGTATTTAGGACACTCAAGGGAGAAGGCTGCTTCTACAGCAACAACAAAATTACACTTGTATTGCGCCTTTCACGTCAGGAGGATGTCCCAAGGTGCTGGACAATCAATGCTTTGGACCCGAGCTGGTGGTTGGGATTGTGGAGGGCAGGTGGGGGAGGAGGATGACCGAAGTCACGGTCGAAGTGCAGGTCTTGAGACGGGTCTTGAAGGAGGCAATAGAGGGGGTAAGGCAGAGGGACTGCAGGATGGAGTTCCAGAGGGTGGGGACAAAGTGGCAGAAGTCCTGCCCCCCCCAATGATTGGGCAGGTAAGGCGGGGGATGTGAAGCAGGCTGGAGCCCGCTGAGCGGAGCGAGCGGGCATGTTAGTAGGGAGTTAGGAGGCATCTGAGGTAGGTGGGAGCAAGTCCATGGAGGGCTTTGAAGGTGATATCCTGCTTTATAGATTCAATTCCCAAGCTTTACTTTATTCAACAGTCCATTGTTTTGCAGGCTTAATGCTTCCTATACTGACTTATTTTCAAACTGGGATTCAAACCCACTTACAAACTTCTTGCATCAATTGACGTGTATTTTAAAAAACACACATTGTTGTTGCTATGGTAGAAGGTAGGCCTATTTTCAGACACTGGTTACAATCCAAATTTACATTTATATAGCACTTTACACGTCAGACCCAAAGCACTTAAACTCAAAGCAAAGCTTCAATTCTGAAGCTACTGTTCAACTTTTAATGAGCTGATCTTTGTCATATTTTTCCAACTAGTAAGGATTCTTTCCTATGCCCCTTCAGATTGTAGAGGAGTTATGGGAGGAAGAGTTCATCGAACGCTGCTTTCAAGAGATGCTGGAGGAGGAGGAGGAGCACGAATGGTTTATTCCAGCCCGAGATCTCCCACAGACCATTGACCAGGTTCAGGAACAACTCAATGGTCTTGTCATAAGCAGTAATGGTTCAGCGGAGGATCTTGTGGTAAGCCAATGTTCTGTATCAATGAGGGCTTTGTACTTCATTCTGACTACACATGAAGTAACACTGACAAGTGAGGTTAGCTTGGTGTCGAGTGAACTTTCTGTCCTGCTTTATGAAGTGTAATTATAATTGTCTCTGTTCTGCAGAATTTGACTGGTAGCTGGTTTTCCAAGGGTGTAAGACACTAAAAGGAGATTTGTTTTGTTCTCCAACTGTAGTCTCCCTTTGGAGAATGTTACTGTTTAGTGTAGTTCAGTTTTGATGGAAACTGATTCCTCTGCAGCTGCTTTCAAGTTACTGTTGGAATTAGAATTAGGTAAACTGGGTGTATCCTCCAGGAAGAGAGTGTGCATTCCAATAAACATCGCTGGAATTTCCATGTGTGGGCGGGATGCATTGGACTCTCAGTTTGGTTTGGATATTCTTTTAAGTATTCAAAGGGCATGTGGCTGACATTAAAAAAAAAGTGAGAGCAACTTTTTAGGAAAATAATAGTTGCATCATCCACACTGCCCTCCTATTAGTTAGGCAATGCCGTTGTATTCCTCCCAGCCGATTAGGCCTTAAGCCCTTGACTTGTTTATCATATTCCACTGGTTGTATCGTCCTTCATGCAGATGCATCTCTACTCAGGACTGATGGGTCAGTTACCCATATGTTATTTGCTCCAGCAGCATCATTGTGGGTCTGTTGAAGGACACTGGTCTTGTCCTTCAGTTGAATAGAGCCTTTTTTACTATGATTGGTGACAAACTTGAACCCAGCAGAAGGAGAATTTAGGATAAGCTTTATGAGCTGCAAATCCTCACTAATGGATGCATTCCACTGATTCCTCTGCATCATCTCTGATGAACATCTTGGTGAGCCTCATCATAACCCACTGTTCTAATACGCCTCACCTATCTAAAGAAGCATCAAGCAGTGTTTTTAAGACCTGAATTCACCCAATGTTTGTTGTCTGTATTTACTTTAGAGTCTCCAGTTTCTGGATGAGTGGCTAGAATACTGTAGCTTCAACTTCATCCATCATTGACAGTCGCTCACAGGTCCTCATGATCAGCAAAACCTTCTTCATACTTGGGCCTTATCACAAATCACAATGCTAATCAATCGCTCCAGTTTAGCGCACAGTAAGCATCTCTGACAGGAAGTCAATCAGCAGAAGTTACCCAGTTCCACCAGAATTTCAATTCAAAATCAGATGGTGTGCCAAGCTATTTGCAATCATATAACTTATTCGTGCAGCACCCTGTACCCCACGCATGTAATCAATGACCCTCAGAAAGGGAGCAAAGAACTGCACATTTGCTTTATGGCAAATTCCAATCACCCATAAGGAGCGTCAACAGTAAGGGAACCCTTGTTGGTGCTATCTTGTCAACTGCTGAATATTGGTTGCTGGATAAATTTGGGTTATACTCCAGAGTATTAGGAACATAGGAAGAGGAGTAGACCATTCAGCCCCTCGAGCCTGTTCCGCCATTCTATTAGATCATGGCTGATTTGTACCTCAACTTCAAATACCTGCCTTGCCCCAAATCCCTTGATACCCTTACCTAACAAAAATCTTCCGCCTCAGTCTTGAAAATTTGAATGGATCCAGCATTCACAGCCTTTGGGGGAGAGAGTTCCAGACTTCCATTATCCTTTGTGTGAAAAACTGATTCCTGAGATCACTCCTAAATGGCCTAGCTCAAATTTTAAGATTATGCCTCCTTTTTCTGGAATTTCCAACCAGAGGAAATAGTTTCTCTGTAGCTACCTATCAAATCCCTTTATTACTTTAAAAATCTCAATCAGATCACCCCTCAACCTTCTGAACTCAAGGGAATACAGACCAAGTTTGTGCAACCTGTCCTCATAATTTAACCATTTAAACCCTGCTATCATTCTGGTGAATCTGAAGGATGGATCATGTAATGCAGCACTTCTTCAGAGAAGCCCTCAGAAGGTGACCTTAGGCACCAACAAAGAGATAGGACTTTAAAGCAGCGACAGAAGAGATGAGATGGAGGTGTTAAGGGGGGGTCTTTCACAGATGATTGAATTGGAAAACTTGGCCACCAATGGTGGCATGGGTTGAGCAGGGGACTCACAGTAACCCCGGGATGCCAAGCAGAGGGGGCGAGTAGAGGAGTGGGGTAGGAGATCAGAGGACAGGCTATGAGGTGAAGGGATTTTTAGGTGAGGGAGAAGATCTTGAAATTGATCCACTGGGAGACAGTGAACCTAGCGAAGACAAACATGATGGTTATATGGAGTTTGTCATTGGTGAGGCTGCAGGCAGCAGAGTTTGGGCTGTGTTTATGGATAAGAGTTTCAGTGGCATTTAGAGTGAAGCAGCTGTATCCCAGATAGCTGTTGAGGAAACTCTTGAGGCTTGGGCCGACAGCAGCTGGAAGGTGTTACCTGGAGTCCGAGTTTGTGAACGCGCATTTGTACATTCATCACTTGGAATCCCCGTTGATTAGCCTGCAGGGAGGCCAGCAGCTGCTTCTTAAACTCCGCACCTCCAACTGGTGGAACCATCACTCAACGGGAATGGATGTATGTCCGAGCTGAGACAGGAAGATGGTTGCAATGCTCTCACACAATTCATGCTGAGCTGTGTTGCCCACCAGGAAGCTTGCAGGGAGTTTCACCCACAAAATATGGTCAACCCACTGTACAATATCCTGTGAAGTTGAGACATCGCGACGATCTGATAAGACACAATATCAAATGCAAGGATTATAAGAACTATTATCATTACTCTTTTAACATCCTACTTTAAAAAAAATTTCTCCAGAATTACATATTTATACAGATTGATTCTTGGAAAGTAAAGGTATTAGGGATACTGAGAAAACAACAACAAAATTACACGTGTATAGTGCCTTTCACGTCGGGAGGACATCCCAAGGTGCCTTACTGTCAGTGTTTCGGGCCCGAGCTGGGGTTCTGGATTGGGGAGGGTGGAAAGCAGTGGGGGAAGCAGGGTGATCGAAAGCACAGTCGAAGAGGTGGGTCTTGAAGGAGGCAAAAGAGGGGATGAGGCGGAGAGTCTGCAGGATGGAGCTCCAGAGGGTAGGGGCAGGGTGGCAGAAGGCCCACACCCCCAAATGGTGGGGCGGGGGACATGAAGAAGCCCAGAGCCCGCTGAACGGAGGGAGTGGGCAGGATGGTAAGGGGTTAGGAGATCGCAGAGCTAGGGAAGAGCAAGGCCATGGAGGGCTTTGAAGGTGATGCCCAGGATCTTGAACTGTATTCTTTGAGTGTATCCAGTGGAGTTGGGTGAGGATGGGGGTGATAGAGTCACAGAGCCTTGTGTGGTAGAAGACATGGGCTGCAGAGTTCTGGATTGCATCTGCAGCATATGGAGGAAGGAGTTGGGGAGACCAACAAGCAAGGAGTTTGCATAGCCAAGCCTCGATGTTATGAATGCATGATGAGGGTTTTGGCGGCCTGCGGTGTGAGACGGTGGCAGAGCCTGACGATGTTGCAGAAGTGTGGGAAGGCAGAGCGGGTCATGGCATGGATGTAGGGTAGAAAGGATAGTTGAGGGTCAAGCGAGACGCCAAGGTTCAAGACCGGCTTAGCAAGGTGGAGTGTACAACCCATGGATGGTGATGCTGTCAGGGCCTGAGGAGGCGCTGAAGGGAGCCAATCAGGAGAGCCTCGGTCTTGTTGCCCTTCAACTGAGAAAGTTAGCTCTCATCCAGGACTTGATGTCTGACAGACATTCTGTCAGGACGGGTGGTCGTGGAGTCAAGTGTGGAGCCTGAGGTCTAGTTGGGTGTCATCCGCATACAGGTGGAAGTGGACCCCATGTCTGCGGATGATGTCATCAAAAGGGGGCATATAGATATTGAAGAGGAGGGGACCAAAGATAGAGCCCTGAGGAACACCCGCATGAGATGGGGCGAGGGCTAGAGGAGAAATCATTTGTGGAGATGAAGTGGAGGTGGTGTGAGAGGTACGATCTGACCCAGTCAAGGACAGAGCTGTTGAGGTGAGAGGAGAGGCGGTGGATGAGGATAGAGTGGTCAACGGTGTCAAAGGCAGCATACAGGCCAAGGAGGATGAGGAGGCAGAGGGAGCCCTGGTCGCAGATGGACAGAATGTCATTTGTCACTTTGACCAGGGCAGTTTCTGTGCTGTGGACGGCACAGGAATCCGAATGGAGGGGTACATGAAGGGAGTGACAGGAGAGGAAGGAGTGAAGCTGGGAAGCAACAACTCATTCCAGGACCTTGGAGAGAAAAGGGAGGTTGGAGACGGGGTGGTAGTTTGAGAGCAGGAATGGGTAAGGAGGGTTTTTTAAGGAAAGGAGTAATGACGACTGTCTTTAAAGGGGTGGGAACAATACCAGTGGACGGAGAGGTTTATGATGTCTGTGAGTAGAGGGGCAAGATGGTGAAGCTAGGAGGTAAGGAGAGGGGTAGGGATGGGGCCGAGGGAGCAGGTGATCGATTTCATGAAGGATCAGGGAAATTAGTTTAAAATATCTGTCATGATCAATAAACTGGCAGAAATTAGTTGATGGGTAGAGTCGCATTCACTTGTTCCAGTTTTCCTAAATTCAGACAGTTCAGATTGAATTGCTTTACACAGAAATTTGTGAGTATATGAAATACAATACCCATAGAGATGGTAAAGGTCATTTCAAGAGGGAATTAGTTATTTGGTGAATTGAATTGAGTGGTATGAAAGCAAGAATGTATGATTATTTCATTATTTATGCTTTAGAAACATCCAGATGACCCACAGTGGTAATTTATGATCTATGTTTCTCTGTTCAAGAATGAATGTAGCAACAACACCAGCTTGTTTTTACATGGAGCCATTCATGTAAGATAATGTTTCATACATTGGTTGGGTTAAATGCAGATCAAGGGGGAGGGGGTTCAATAGACACAGTCGAAGAGATAGGTTTTCAAGTAGGATTTAAAAATGGATAAACTGAGGCAGAAAGTTCCAGACATTAGGCGTGTCGTGGCTCGGCCACAGAAGAATCGGGGGACACGCAACAGGGCTGTGTTAACTGAGCGAAGGAGGTAAACAGAGAAGTGAGGTTTGAGCAGGTCAAGGTGGTAGGAAGGTGCTTGAAGTTGATCCATTCTGGAGATGGCAAGTGAGCCTGGCGAGGATTGGAGTGATGGGTGTGTGGAATTTGCTGCAGGTGAAGATCCAGGCAGTGAAATTTTGTATTAGCTGAATGCAGGTGTGTGTGCAAATATAAAAAGTCTCAGAATACCAGACGAGATTAACCTTTGGCTTCTTTTCCAGACCAAGAGCAACTTGAATCCAAATGCAAAGGAGTTTGTTCCAGGGATGAAGTACTGAAGAGTTGTATATCAAGGCCTCGGTCAGTGGATGTAGCACAATCTCCACACTGTGAAGCCAGTATTAGAGGAAAAAATAGTAGAAACTCCCTTCTCTATCACTGTGTTACACTCATGTGCATTGCCAAAGTTTTCAGTTTGTGTTGCATGCTAAATAAATGTGCTGAGACTGTTATTATTCAATCATTTGCTTGTAGTAGTTGACTGAAAAAGTGAATGTAACAGACTGTGCCATGGAGGGGGAGAATCTCCTGCACAAATAATACAGCCAGTCACACCTTCACCCCATTTGTATTCTTTTAATTTGACCAGAACACTAAACTGCTAATGACTCAGTGCTAAAAAAAAACACGTTTTGTGACATTCATTTTATACATTGATAATAAAATGTGGAATTTGATATTTCCAGTTAATTTAATAGGGGATCCAGGGAGTCTGTTTTTTTTTCTGCTGGTAGGTCTCTAACTTACAACTCTCTCAGCACCCACCACGTAAATGAAAGACTGTGGAATTCCACATTTCAGATAACTTGTACAGATCTTGTCAGTGTATTTTGCACCTCAAATTGCACTCTGGACCCAAGTCAGACAAACAAGCAATCTTTCTCAGGTGCTGATATTGGAACTCAGCAGCCTGCATCGATTCTACAGTATTCCATAGCCAGACATCTGAGGTGCATGTAAATTAGGAGGGAGGGAGGGAGCAGGTAAAGTGGAGAGAATAGATAAGCAGGAGAGATGGAGGGGTGAGATGGAAAGGGAGGGTGAACTCAACAGCCTATGGAGACAGTGTGATGCCTAGCCTTGTTCAGTGTGGTGATTGATAACCCAGTGAGATGTCCTGGCACAACTGCAAAACGTTGAATACAAGAAATAATTGCATGCAAAATATTGCATTGTTTCAAAAAAAATTACACTGGGCCGGCCAATAAAATCAGCAAGCCTGCAGAGAAATTAAACTTGTACAGAAATCACGAAAATATTAGATTAAATCTTCCATTTTGCTTTTTGTCCTGATGCAAGTGAAAGTTAATCAGGCCCCTTTGCTGTGGTGACTTGTGTCCTTTTGTGTGTAATAGTGTTCACTGGTAAAGGGTATTAATGCAAAGGTAGATTTACATAGACTACAGCACAAAAACACACCAGTCATTCGGCCCAACCAGTCCGTGCCGGTGTTTGTACTCCACATGAGTCTCCACCCATTCCTTACTCCCTTCCATATTATTCCCTTCTCCCTCGTGTATATCAACCACTGGTTTGGGCAGTGTGTTCCACACAATATTGTATATTGTATGGGGTAGGTAAAGAATAGTCTCATGTCTACATTTACCTACAGATATGCAGTCCTAACACTTTATTGTAAAATCCTGTGAAGTACTTTAAGATGTTTCAGGATTGTGATTAAACGCTGTATTCATAGCAATCCTATGATTGTCACTGGTCATAGGAATTAGTCCGAGGATAGATGTAGATTTGTGCCATGTCTCCCCTGGTCAGCGATATAAGTGCAAACCATAGGTGTGAATAGTATAGTATCACTGTTCAGGGTTAATAAGTGAGGGTAAACACGGCATAGTTTCAGGTCACTGGTTGGAGGGTATTAGTGTGAGATCGGTCTGAAATAGTGCATTGTCACTGGTCAGTGGTATAGTGTGAGGGTAGATGTGGGAATATTGTGTCATTAATCTGTTATTAGGCCGAAGGTAGGTGGAAATACTGTTATGTCATCAGTCAGGAGGTTTATTCCGAGGGTAAGTGTTGAATAGTGTCATGTCTACATCTGCCTACCAATCGCTAAGCTTTACAGGAAAATCCTGTGAAGCACTTTGAAATGTTTTGATACATAGTAAGGTGAATCTCAAATACAAGTATTATGTCACTGATCAGAGAAATTAGTGCAAGAGTAATTATACCCTGTCACTAGTCACTAGTATTAGTGCGAGGTAGGTGTGGAATTGTGCCATGTCACTGGTCAGGGATATATTTGCAAGGGTGAGGAAATAGTGTTTTTACTGGTTTAGGAGTGTGAGGTTAAGTGTGGAATAGTGTATTATTGGTCAGGGATATTAGTGTGACGTGTGTGAAACAGTGCCGTGCCACTGTTCAGGGAAACAATTGCAAGCGTAGGTGTTGAAATAGTGTTTCACTAGTTAGGATTGTGAGGTAGGTGTGAAATAGTGCCGTGTCACTGGTAAGGGATATCAGTGTGAGGGTAGGTGTGGGACAATGAAGGATCACTGGTCGGGAGAATTAATGTGAGGGTAGGTGTGGAATCGTTTCAGATCATTGTTTGGGCAAATTAGTGTGCAGCTAAGTGTGGAATAGTGCAGTTTCCATGGGTGGGTATTAACGTGAGAGTAGGTTTGGAATAAATAGTGCCCAATCAATGGTTTGGGATATGTGAGAGTCACTACGTTGGGTCTGTGTTTGTTTAGCCTTCACAGTTGTTACTGTTGCAGTGTTTTTCTCCCCATCCTAAAGCAATTATAGCAAATGTGGAGCCAATAACTTACTTACTACAGTTATGTTGAAACGTAAAAACGGCTTTGTAAATGTGCGATGGTATATGTGGAGTATGGTGTGTCGGTGATAAGGTGTTGAGTTTTTTAATGGCTTTCCAAAGGGAATTGGACAATAATTTGAAAACAATGAAAGGGTTTGAGGAAAGGAGAGTCATACTGAGGGATATCTCTTTCAGATTGTCAGTGCAAGCTTGGATGTGCAAGAACAGAGTGCATTTGCATGTATTGTCTGGGTGTGTTTCTGCTGTTGTCCATCAGATGTGCATTGCTTCGGTATGTGCAACTCCACTTACACATTGGGTGTGCCTTGTCCACAAGTAGCTCCATTGGCTTTGCATTGTTTTTGAAAGATCATAGACTGATGGTGGATGGCACAGATTTGAATGGTGATTCTTCCTCACTATGGTACAGAAAATAACTTTACAAATTTAAAGAACAACATGGCAAGAAATATCCAATTTTTTTTAGATGGTGGAAAATGAATCTTTTAGCATCTTCAGTTTCAGATTGGTGGATTTTTGGCTGCCATTTGTGTTTAATGTGAAGAGTGTTTAAACTGGAAAAACGTGTAAAAAAAAAAGTATATTTTTCCAAAAATATTTTTAAAAAAATTAAATATTAAGTAGAATGGATTTTTGTAGTTTGGATGTTTTTTTGCCTAATTGTGGTTTGGTGAACATCAGTTTTCAGCAGCTCCGCCTCGGACAGGAGACATCGCTCTTCTCTGAATGGTGTCTGATTGGTGCCTGACACACAACTGACTCCATCACAAGCCCTGGGGCGCCTGTGGCTTGGCCGAGAAGATGGTTTGAACCAATCTGTGTTATCTGCAACCCCCAATCTGTGTTATCTGCAACCCCCCTTTTCTCTGCATGTTATTACAAGTGATGCCCGTTATGTTTATTTCTGTAAAAAAAATGGATTATAATCAAAATTAACATCTAAGTGAGAAATGTAAAGTGAATGGCTTCTTGTCAAATATTTATGTTGAAATATTTGTTCATAACAACACCTTGCATTTATATAGCACCCTTCGTGTGAGGTAACATCTCTGAGTGCCTCACAGGGATGGACAAGGGAGAGTGTGGTGGCCATAGGTGCATTCTAAGAGTTAGCACTTGAGGCGGTACTTACCTTAAGACAGAAACGATAGAGAGGTGGGAGAGGGAGAGGAATTCCAGGTGTTCCAGGGAGCGTAGGAACTGAAGGTGTAGTGGGAGATGCACCACCATCATCAGCGTTTGCCGTCCAGGGACAGCAGAGTTTGACAAATATAGATGGTGCGATAGTGGTTAACTTGCGTAAAACATTCAGGTTGTCATTAGTGTCTGCTTTCCTCATGCAGAGGCCGATGATGGCTCTGTTGCTCCGTAGGCAGAGCTGACCTGCGAAAAACGGGAGCATTTTAATGTCTGCTCTTGATTGAAACTGGATCCACTGTCTGCAATAGCCTGGAAAGCTCGCGTGCGATGGCAGTCACACAGCAGTGCCAGAGGGTGGCAGTCACACAGCAGTGCCAGTAGGTGGCAGTCACACAGCAGTGCCAGTAGGTGGCAGTCACACAGCAGTGCCAGAGGGTGGCAGTCACACAGCAGTGCCAGAGGGTGGCAGTCACACAGCAGTGCCAGAGGGTGGCAGTCACACAGCAGTGCCAGTAGGTGGCAGTCACAGAGCAGTGCCAGTAGGTGGCAGTCACACAGCAGTGCCAGTAGGTGGCAGTCACACAGCAGTGCCAGTAGGTGGCAGTCACACAGCAGTGCCAGTAGGTGGCAGTCACACAGCAGTGCCAGAGGGTGGCAGTCACACAGCAGTGCCAGTAGGTGGCAGTCACAGAGTAGGTACCAAAACACCAATGTGTCAGTGAGCAGCAGTCAGTAGATGGCAGCAGTCACACACTCGCGCCAGTAGATTGTGTTTACATGTGTTTTCATTCTTCTGGCCCCCTACTTCTTGCAATTCCCTTTCCTTCCCCTTTTTCTTTTCTTCCTCCCTACTTCTGCATCTTTTATTTCTCATTCCCCTAGTTCATTCTTTCCATCCGCCCATCCTTCTCTCGCTCTCTCTTCACACTTCCTTGCTTTGTCATCTTCTTCATTCAGACCCTTCGGCAACAACAACTTGCACTCATATAGTACCCCTCACACAGGGTAGCGTCCCAGAGCACTTGACAGTGGGGGAGCACGACTCCGAGCTGGAGGGAGGGGGAGGTAATGGTAGGAACAGAAAGATCTTCAGGCATGACCACCAATGGTGGAACAGAGGGTACGAGGGACATGCAGAAGGCTGGAGCCAGTCGAGCGGAGGCAGCGGGTTGGCAGGTAAGCAGGTCGAAGAGGTAGGGAGGTACCGGGGCATAAAGGGATTTGAAAACGAGTATGAGGATCTTAAAATCGACCAGTTTGGTGATGGGGAGTCACTGGAGCTCGGCTACAACTGATCTGATGGGGGTACAGAGTTTAGTACTGGTGAGTATGCAGGCGTCAAGAGTTTTGGATCCTGTGCATGGTGGAGCTGGGGAGACTGGCAAAGAGGGTATTGGAGAAGTCTGGTCGGGAGGTGACAAACGCATGGACGAGTGTTTCGGCTGAGTCTGGGTGAAGGTATGGTCGGAGGCGGGCAACGTGGCAGTGGAGGAAGGCCGTCCTGGTCAGAGACCGGATGTGGGGAAGGAAGGAAAGCTGTGGGTTGAACCCGACGCCTGGGTTGCACACTGATTCGGTAAGTCTGAGGGACAGGCCGGGGAGTCGAGAGCCGCAGGATAGAAGATGTTGACGGGAGCGAATGAGTATGGCTTCTAGTCAACATTGAGTTGTAGGCAGTTTTCGCTCGTCCAGGCCTTGAAGTCCACCAGATAAGTCGAGAGAACGTTGGCAGACCTGGAGTCACAGCTGGAGGAGGAGGAGTAGATTTTTTGTCATCCGCATACATGGGAAGTTTACCCCACACCGGTTCGACCTCGGACGCCGGGTAAATCAGACAAAACGCCCGGCCATGATTTATTTATATTCTTACTTGTTTTAAACACGCTGGTTAATGCGGACAAAATGCCGAGCTGGTCACGCCGCGTCTACTCACTCGCCACGAGCGGCTCTGGGACAGCGATGGGAGGAGCCAAATTGCGATTGATTGACAGGCGGACTCCAGGGAGTCAAGCGGCTCTGGGCTGTCAATCAGTGGAACACGTAGGAATAGGGAAGGAACAAGGGAGGGGGACAGGAGGAGTCAAATCGTGTTGGATTGACATCTCGAGTCACTTGTGAATGGGTGGGGTGTCCCAGGCTGTCCCATCACCTCAGAGCCGTAGCGAATTGGTCCCCTTCAGGTCCAATGGGAACGGCAATGGGAGAGGCGGTGCTGCAGCCAATCCTTTGCTGGGGCAGGTAAGTGCACTTCGGTTAACCTCGAACGCCGCTTAAGTCGGACGAAGGAGGCAGCCCCAATGTGTCCATCTTAGCCGGCTTCCACAGTAATTAAAGCAGTAAAACATTGTGTTCAGTTACAGCTGTGCTCTTTCTCCCCTCTGCGCCTCCTCTCTTTGCCAGTCTCACTCTCACTCCCCCCCCCCCCCCCCCACACACACACCCAGAGTAAGCTGTAGGGTATGAGGAAAGGGCAAGTAAATGGGAATGGAAGAGCCAGCACTGACGGTATGAACCGAATCGTTTCTTCTATGCTGTAAATTTCTATAGTTCTACCTTGGAAACAGAAGGAGGCCATTCAGCCCCTCGAGCCTGTTCCGCCACTGTATAAGATCATGGCTGATCTGCATCTCAAGTCCAATTACCCGCCCTTGCCCCATATCCCTTAATACCATCACCCAACAAATCTATATCCAACTCAGTCTTGAAAATGTGGATGGATCCAGGATCCACAGCCTTTTGGGGGGAGAGAGTTGCAGATTTCCACTACACTTTTGGGTGAAAAACTGCCTCCTAATTTCACTCCAAAATGGCCTAGCTCTAATTTTAAGATTACGCCCCCCCCCCCCCCGTTCTGGATTCCCCTACTGAAGGAAATAGTTTCTCTGTATCTACGCTATCAAATCCCTTTATTATTTTTTTAAAAAAAAACCTCAATCAGATTACCCCGCTACCTTCTAAACTCAAGGGGATAAAGACCAAGTTTATGCAACATGTCCTCATAATTTAACTCTTTAAGACGTGGTATAATTCTGGTGAAGCTTACTCCCCCCCCCCCCAACTCCATGGACGCCGGTTAAGCTCGGTCGCCGGGAAAATCGGACAAAATGCCCGGCACTGATTTATTTATATTCTTACCTGTTTTAATTATGCTGGTTAATCTGGACACAATTTTCGCCTCTGTGTCTACTCACACTTCATGCGTGGCTCTGGGATGGAAATGGGAGGACTCAGATCGTGATTGATTGACACCTGGAGCCCTGTGTGAATGAGTGGAGTCATTCATATCGTCTCACTCTCGCCCCTCTCTCTCTTGTTTGTCTCACTCTCCTATCCTTTCTCTCTCTCTCTCTCTCTCTCCTTGATCTGGCTCTGTTCGTCCCCTCTGTCTGTTGGTCTCACTCACTCGCTCCTCTTTCTGTTCGCTGTGTTATTTGCTCCTTTGAGGACTGTCGCTTGGAATCGCAGAGAAAGACAATGATGTACCGGTGGTTTAGTCCAGAAATGACCCATCACACAGGTCGGAACATTCTAGGAACGAAGTGGGTCAAGAAGAGGAAAAACTTGTGTTTAATGTTGTGGCAACCTTATCAGATATTTAAACCAGGGAAGCAGTTCCTCCTACCAGCACAACGCTAATTGAAATTAAATGATGAAGTATTGATCATCACAGTTATATAAATTAATCATTATACGCGTTAGGTAGGGTGAGAATACAGTCCTAGTTCCCATTGAATCTCCCTAGTATTTTACCTGAAGTTAGATAAGTTTTAGAGCTCGTTTATATATGTTGTGTATTTATGCGGCTGTAACTGTTCACGTACACATTCAGTGACACTGGCTCTGGAGCGGGGAAACAAACCATTTCAAGGTGCATCTTTTTTTTTCTTACATTTTATTTTCCTTTTTCTGAAGGATATGTTGTACACCAAATATCCTGTTGGCAGTAAAGCGCATTCCAATGTGTTAGAAGCGAGAAACACTCACGCTTTGTTTACAAACACTGTACATGTAAAATAGAACCACAACAGGAAAATGCATGTTAATAACATACAAAAAATACACTCCTACTCGGTAGGTAAACTACAACAGTCCGATTCTTGAATCTATTTACACTTGTATTACAAAAATATACTTTTGATATTTTTTTTGCTTACATTCGAAAGAAATCTTCAATTTCTCCCTTCACTCCTTGGTGTAATAATGTCCTTCTCTTTCCCTTTCGCCTTCAAGGCTTGATGCAGCGCATCCATCCACAAAGACACACGTCAGCAAGGCTCCACATAAAGGCACACAAACTGTTTTTTTTTTTTAATCATAGAACTTTGAAACTGTTTGAAAGAAAACAAAGTTTTGCTGCGTGAGTACCAAAGGTGATATTCACAGAATCAGGACATCACACCTGCACATGCTGATACGGTACTGCATTATTAGTGCTTTGTCTTCCTTTTTAAAAAAAAATCAAAAAAGGAATTCATCACAGCATTGCACAATAGAAACATTGACCAAAAACACTCTGCTAACTGCAGATAATATAGTATGCGATATGCAAGTAAGTTCTCCACAATAGAACAGTACAACCTGCAGAATGTGGGGGGCTGCAGGCATATGGTGCATGAACAACACAGCGAGGCAACGTCTATTTATACTTTTTTGAACAAAAGTTATTTTAAATAGATTTACTTGGGGGGGGGGGGAAGAGATCCGAGCGAGATCTTCAGACCTCAATTGTCCTTGGGGAAAGGGTAGATGGCATCTCCGAGAGAGCTGAGGTCACTGGAGGATATGTGCTGGTCACCGGAGACTGGTAACTGCTGGTCACTGGGGACTGGTAACTGCTGGTCACTGGGGATTGGTAACTGCTGGTCACTGGGGACTGGTAACTGCTGGTCACTGGGGACTGGTAACTGCTGGTCACTGGGGACTGGTAACTGCTGGTTACTGGGGACTGGTAACTGCTGGTTACTGTTGGGTAGGGGCTGGTCACTGATGGGTAAGGGCTGGTCACTGATGGGTAAGGGCTGGTCACTGATGGGTAAGGGCTGGTCACTGATGGGTAAGGGCTAGTTACTGTTGGGTAAGGGCTGGTCACTGAAGGATATGTGCTGGTCACTGAAGGATATGTGCTGGTCACTGGAGACTGGTAACTGCTAGTCACTGTTGGGTAAGTGCTGGTCACCACGGATGAGGGATATGTGCCTGGAGAAGGGTAAGAGGTGGTGGAAATGGAAACGGCTTTCTCTGCTTTCTTCTCCTTCTGCCTCAGGTGGATTTTGGTGTGTCGTTTCCTCTCGTCGCTTCGGGCGAACTTCCTGCCGCAGATCTCGCAGGCAAAGGGTTTCTCTCCCGTGTGCGTGCGGATGTGGGTGGTCAGATGGTCGCTCCGGCTGAAGTTCCTCATGCAGATCCGGCACTGGAAGGGCTTCTGGCCGGTGTGGATGCGGATATGGCGAGTCAGTTCATCGGACCGGGAGAACCTGCGGTCGCAGGTCTGGACGGGGCACGCGTACGGCCTCTCGTGGGGGGGGGTCTTGCTGGGCCGGTTGGTGTACTTTCTCAGGCGGGCGGGTTTGATCAGTTGAGACTGGTAGGTGTGGTTGAGGGTCTTGAGATCCGGGGATGGAGCTTGGCTGCCGATGGCTTTGATGGTGGACAGTGGGATGAGGGAGGGTTGCACTCTGCCCTCCAGGGATTGGAAAGGCTTCTGCTCTGAGGTGGCCATGGTCATGTCCTCCTGCGGGTTGGCGGTGATGGCGGCGGCGGTGGCGGTGCTGGTGGTGGTGTGGGGGAAGAGATACTCGGGGATCATGGGCACTTGGAAGCTCTTGCTGCCGGGGTACGCCGGGGGCGCGTAGCCGCCGACCCCGGGGAACCCCTGGGGTGGGGGCTCCGGGAAGATGTCCGAGGCGCAGGTGGAGAAGGTGGGAGGCGCCTCACTGTGGGGGATGGAGCAGCCGAGGCTGTGGCTGGAGGTGGGGGGGGCACACGGGCTGCTCATGCTCACGATGCCGCTGACCAGACTGAACAGAGGCTCCGGCCACAGGGTACCGCTGTTGTTGTTGTTGCTGTTGTTGCTGTTGTTGTTGTTGTTGTTGTTGGGTGCGGGTTCCAACGTGAAGCGGCCGGTGTAGGTGATGGGCGGCAGAGGGCAGCTGTGACCCGAGTAGTTGGGGTCGATCACTGTTTTCTCGCCGCTCGGAGAGATGTCCGTGAAGGTATCTGCGGCCAAACACCAGAGAGAGAGAGAGAGAGAGAGAGAGGAGTTTCACTATCACTGCGTTAAACCCCCACACACACACCGACCACTGACTGAGAGTCTGTGGCAACGCAGCGGACACCGATATACACTGTGTGTGGGTGTGTGGGTGTCGGGGGGTGTGTGTGTCGGTGTGTGTGTGTGTCCCGGTGTGTGTGTGGGTGTGTGTGTGGGTGTGTGTGTGTCGGTGTGTCGGTGTGTGGGTGTGTGTGGGTGTGTGTGGGTGTGTGTGTGGGTGTGTGTGGGTGTGTGTGTGGGTGTGTGTGTGTGTGGGTGTGTGTGTGTGTGTCGGTGTGTGTGTGTGTGTCGGTGTGTGTGTGGGTGTGTGTGTGTGTGGGTGGGTGTGTGTGGGTGTGTGTGTCTGTGTGTGTGTGGGTGTGTGTGGGTGTGTGTGGGTGTGTGTGTGTGGGGGGGGGTCTGTGTGTGTGTGTGTCTGTGTGTGTCTGTGTGTGTGTGTGTGGGTGTGTGTGTGTGTGGGTGTGTGTCTGTGTGTCGGTGTGTGTGTGTTTGGGTGTGTGTGTGTCTGTGTCTGTGTGTGTGTGTGTGTGTGTGTGTGTGTGTGTTGTGGGTGTGTGTGTCTGTGGGTGTGTGTGTGTGTGTGGTGTGTGTGTGTGTGTGGGTGTGTGTGTGTCTGTGTGTGTGGGTGTGTGTGTGTGTGGGTGTGTGTCTGTCTGTGTGTGGGTGTGTGTGTGTGTGTGTGTCAGTGTTTTGATCACTGTTCCAAACAATCATTGCTCCCGACAGCACCGTCTCTGAGCGCTGTGTCCGAGTGCACTAACGCTAAACACTGGAAGACGATGACACGTAACGCATTTCCCTATTTAAACCGCGATCCCATTCCAACATTCCCAGTCGGTGGGGAAGGACGGAGCGGAGCTCCCGCTGTGCTCTCGGGGCTGTATTCCCCGGGGAACACCGGCAGCTCCGACCGAGCAACCCCGGGGGTCGGGGGTCGGGGGTCCGGTACAACACATACCATCAAATGATGTAATTAGAAACGATTCGCGGATGTTAACGTGAGATGGAGAGTGCGGGGAAAGCTCTCACACACAGACACACACACACACAGACAGACACACACACACACACAGACAGACAGACACACAGACACAGACACACACACACACACACAGAGACAGACACAGACACACACACACACAGAGACAGACACAGACACACACACACACACACAGAGAGACAGACACACACACACACACACACAGACAGACACACAGACACAGAGACAGACACACACACACACAGAGACAGACACACACACACAGAGACAGAGACACACACAGACACACACACACACACACACACACAGCCCCTGAAACACGCAGCTCCAGCTCGGTGTTTGCCCGCAGTGCTCGGGGTGTAATCGCCACTCACTGCTGCACCATCTCTGTCACAGTTAATACCGTTCAGATGGATCGGGTTTGGGGATCGGGTCCCCAGTGTGTGTGTGTGTGTGTGTGTGAGTGTGTGTGAGTGTGTCTGTGTCCACCGCTATCGCTGCTCTGCCAAAGGAAAAAGGTGGTGGTGTGTGTGTGTGTGGGTGTGTGGGTGGGTGTGTGTGTGGGTGTGTGTGTGTGGGGGGTGGTGGGAGGGGGGGGGGGGACTCACCTGCTGACAGATGCTCAAAGTGGTCGAGGGGCTCCCCGTAAAAAGGCTGATCGGTGGAGGCTGTCACAAAGGTGCCCGTCATCATCATATCCTCCAGCTTGGGGTAGGCATCCAGAGAGGGGTACAGGGGGTCTGAGAGAAGGGGAGACATGAGCTCAGCCTTGGTCACCATCGCCGCGACGTTGGGGTCGTCGTCGTCGTCGTTGTTGTTTTTTTTCGTGTGTGTGTGTGTGTCTAATTTATCTCACAGTCCAAAAACAGACTGGGCTGGAGGTGGGGTGTGGGGTGTGGGTGTGGGAGGGGGTGATGGTGGTGATGGTGAGGGGGAGTGGGGGGTGGGGGGGGTGTAGAGCTACCCCGCTGTCTGACAAGTGGGGGGTGGTGTTGGGGGATTACTTTTAAGTTTGTGGAGCTGTGCGGTCCCTCTGGTAATGGTGTGTGTGTCTCTTCGTTGCATTCAGTCGCTGTGGCTGTGGCTGCTGTGTGGCTGTGTGGCTGTGGCTGGTCCCCGCTGTTGTTGCTGCCGTTGCTGCTGCTGCTGAGGGATGAATGAGTGCTCTCTCTTCGCCAGGAGTTGAGGTTGGACCTATTTAGAGGTTTCCTCTCGGCCGCGGCGGTGACGTAGATACCCATATAAGGCGGGAGGAAGCCCATGTTTGGGCAGCGCCGCGTTCCACTGGAACCGGGCACTCCGTGACGTAGCAGCGGAGAGAGAGAGAGGGAGGGAGAGGGCCACCGGGAACCTCGCTCAACGGGACCCAATGCCCACCCACCCACACCCACACCATCACCACCACCACCACCCACCACCTTCCTCCTCCTCCTCCTCCCCATTAGCTCGAATGCACCCGACAATCACACAGTGCTCTCTCTCTCTCTCTCTCTGCACCTCCCCTCCTCTTAACCCCCCCCCTCCCCCCCACCCCCACTCCCTCTCTCTCTCTCTCTCTCTCTCAGTTCCCCGACCATTGCACAGTCAGTCCGTAAAACCCCGGAGATCCGCCCGTCCATATAAGGCATTGCCGCTCCCCGGGACCATATTTGGGCATTCCGGTGATTTCCGTTCCTCGGCCTTATATGGAGTTTCCGGACCAGCGACAGACACACACACACACACACAGAGAGAGAGAGAGAGAGAGTGAGTGAGAGAGAGAGAAAGAGAGAGAGAGAGAGGAAAAAAAGTGCTGAGCGCAGAGAGCGAACGAGTGAATGGAAAGAGCAGCCAATGGTGAGTCGCTTATCATTTGGAGGGCAAAGTCTTGTGTGTGTGTGTGTTTGTGTGTGTGTTGTGTGTGTGTGTGTTTGTGTGTGTGTGTTTGTGTGTGTGTGTTGTGTGTGTGTGTGTTGTGTTTGTGTGTGTGTGTGTGTGTGTTTGTGTGTGTGTGTGTGTTGTGTGTGTTGTGTGTTGTGTGTGTGTGTGTGTGTGTGTGTGTGTGTGTTTGTGTGTGTGTGTGTTTGTGTGTGTGTGTGTTGTGTGTGTGTTTGTGTGTGTGTGTTGTGTGTGTGTGTGTGTGTGTGTGTGTGTGTGTGTTTGTGTGTGTGTTGTGTGTGTGGTTTTTTTTTTGCAATTCTTTTATTAGGGACCGATCGCTGCTGCAGACAGACCGGAGGCACTCCCCCGGGAACTTGTGACGAGAGGCTGTCGTTGCTGCAGTTTTCCCACCGAAGACATCTTTTATTTGAACTTTAAACGCATTAAAGTTAAGGGTTTTTTTTTCTCTCTCTCTCCTCTCTCTCTCTCTCTCTCTCTCTCTCTCTCCCATTGCACACCCTGCTGGCAACAGCCATAAAGAGCATTGCATAACAGGCAGCTGCAACAACAACAAGTCACACACCGCCCTCTGCCCTCAAGATCAGCCTCGAATCCCAGCCCTTTGCTCAGATGTTTATGTCGAACGAGAAAGGCCCTTCTCTTTAGCACCAACTTGAAGGGTCATTGACTTAATCTGCAGGGCTATCAGCCCCTGCTCAAGGTGGGGGGGGGAATATATCATTAGTTCCATTGTAAAGCTATTAGCCCAACCCTGGATTAGGCAAACTATGTACTCTAAGGATCATTAAACCTGTTTAGGACGCGCTGTTTAGGGTGCAATAAACCAGCAAAACCAGAACCAAGCAATAAGACCGGCAATATCACCTGCCCTGCTTTATCTGCACGTTGCCGGCTGCTCCAGACCGCAAAGGATCGAGGAGACGTCAGGAAGAAGCGTCCCAGAGAGCGCAGAGTTACCCGGGGCCTCAAAACCAAGAACATCAAAGGGCAGGGAGAGCAATAACAACCAGTGTAGGTTTGTGTAGCGGTCCGCGCGCCGGGTAGGGTCCCGGTGGCAGAGCGTCTGACCTGAAGACATGGAAGGAAGGGACGAGGCAGAATAATAGAGGAAGAGTGTTCCAGATTTTCGGGGCGTAGTGGCTGAAATCGTGGCCGCCAGTGGTGGAACGGAGGCCATGAGGGACATACAGAAGGCCAGAGTTTGTTGAGTGGGGTCAGCGGGCTGTGGGTTGCGAGAGGGAGGGAGGCACCAGGGCATGAAGGGATTTGAAAACGAGTGTAAGGATCTTGAAATCGATTCGTTCAGCGATACGGAGGCAGTGGAGCTTCTCTAGAACTGGTGTGATGGGGGTACAGAGTTTAGTGTGGATGAGTATGCAGGCAAAGAGTCGAGTCAAGAGGGGCTCAAAAGCATGGGTGAGTGTTTCAGCTGCATCTGGGATAAGGTACGGTTGGAGGCGGGCAGTGTAGCGGAGGTGGAGGAAGGCGGTCCTGTTCAGGGACTGGATGTGGGGAAGGAAGGACAGGTGTGGGTCGAACCTTTCGCCTAGGATGCACACCTGTTTGGTGAGTCTGAGGGATAGGCCAGTGAGGTTGAGGAGGTCGGAGCCGAAGGTTAGAAGACATTGAAGAGAGCCAATGAGTATGGCTTCATCTTGTCAATATTTAGTCGTAGGAAGGTATCGCTCATCCAGGCCCTGATATGGATACCAGACAAGCCAAGAGATCATTGGCGGACCTGGAGTCGCAGCTGGAGAAGGAGGAGAAGTTGATTTGTGAGTCATCCGCACACATGTGGAAGTTTACCTCATATCTATGATGACATCTCCAAGAGATAGCATATCGGTGAGGAAGAGGAGGGGGTCAAGGATGTAGCCCTGGGCTATGCCATAAGTGACTGGGCGGGGCGGGAGGAGAAACTAAAAAGATAAAATGAAGGCGGTTTGTTTGGTAGGACTCGAACTAGCATAGTGAGGTCCCACTAAGGTGGATGAGGAAGGCTTGGTCGACTGTGTCGAACACCAGAAGGCAGGTCTGATACTGAGAGTACAACAACAACTTGCATGTATACAATGCCCTTCACATAGTATAATATGAGGAGCACAATATACATGCAAGTGGGAGTGGGGGGGGTTGAAACATGTGGTGTGTTCGAAGAGTAGGATTTGAAGCAGAACAGAAAGAGAGGAGATGAAATGGAGTTGTAGATGGAGGGAGATCCAGAGGTAAGGGGTGCAGGAATTGATGGTTCAGGTGAGTGGATAGAGTGCGGGTACTATCCAGAGAGCACCGCATTGCTGATCTCCCTAACCCTGAGACTCGACCATTCAAAATTGCTGCCTGTAAACTCACCAGCACCAAACTCCACAAGCCCACACTCCAGTCTCGCTCTTAGTGGATGGATTTCAAGGTCTCTATCTGGCAGTCGGGAAGGCTGCTCTCACAGTTCCTGCTGTTGCCATGAGGACGGTTCGCTGGGGAGGAAGGGAACAGGCAGCTCGAAGTTACAAATTGTTCTCGGGCTGGAATAATACATTCCCCCAGACCAGATGCAGACCCTGGCCTGCCAGTTGGACCACCCTGGTCTAGGCTGACACCTTAGTGCAGTGCTAAAGGTTTGTTGCATAGTTGGAGGTTCCCACCTTCAGATGAGATGTTAAACTGATGGTCCGCCTATGCCTATTCAAGTGGATGTTAAAGATCCCACGGCACTATTTGCAAAGAGTTTCTCCCAATGTCCTGATCAACAATCTCCCAGATAAAATTGATCATTTACTTGATGATTGTTTAAGGGATGTTGCTGTGTGCAAATTGGTTGTTGAGTTTGTCCCCAAAACACGCAGACATTACACTTTACAATATATCCTGTGAAGAGCTTTGAGAACTACCTACATTCCTAAATGAAGGTGCTGTGTCAAATGTAAGGATTACTTATTATTAATATCATTCAGCAGCAACTTGCAAGCCTTGGAGCACTGTACAATAGTGGAGTTGGACGCCAAACGAGGGAGGAAGGGAACGTCAACATATGTGCAGTTGAAGAAGTAGGTTTTCAGGTTGGATTTAAAGATAGATAAATAGGGTACAAGGTGGAGGAATTGAGCCACCAAAGATGCCACAGAGAGATCAGGGCACATGGAGAAGCTCTGTGTTAGCTGAATGAAGGGGTCAGAGGAAAGGCAATATGACCAGGTCAGAGAGGTAAAAATAAAGGTAGGGATGTGGTGGGACATGAAGGGATTTGTATGTGAGGGTGAGGATCTTGAAGTCGATCCATTCGAAGACAGAGGAGCCTGGGGAGGATTAGGGTGATGGGCATGCCAAGTTTGGTGTGGGTGAGCATGCGGGCAGCAGAGTTTTGTATAAACTGGACCTTGTGAACAGTGGAGATTTTGACAGCATTTGGTATGAGCTAAGATCGGAGGCAGGCAATGTAATTGGGGGGGAGAAAAGCAGTAATGGTCAGCGACTGAATGTGGGGTAGGAAGGTCAGCTGAGAGTCCAACACATTTCACTAGTGCATAGCGATCAGAAAGTTTTTGTTCATAATGAGCCTATGGGGGGGGGGCGAGGGAGGGGGCAAGCTTGGGGCTGAACTGGCTCCAAGGCGACGTGCTTGGTAAAGGAATGTTTTGAATTGAGTCGATCCTCTGTGGCGGTCTCAGGTTCCTGAGCCAGTTGGTTCTGCGGTACGTCAGCGCCCTGCTGATGGCAGACAAGTTAGCTTGGCTTATTGGCAGCACTTGGAGGGAAAGACCAGTCATTGAGAGAGGGATACTTCTGACTCAGCTCCTATTAACCATGAAAACCAAAGCCCTAATGGGTAGAATGTTCGTAGCCGGAGAAGCAGCGGGAAACTTGCCAGTGATTTCAGTGGCAAGCGCTGCAGATTTAGCTCGCCGAACACCGGCAGGACTCGAACCCACACTGCGAGCACGCCCCGAGGTAACGTGTAGTAACTGTGAGGGTCTAAGTAATCCACTATATGAGCCAAGTTGGTCCACAGTCCACCAGGGCACTG